AGAGTTTGACTTGGCATGCTGCTAGAAAATCAATTGACGGTTATATGTCTCATCCGGCGGATTCCCCGTCTTGGAAACTTCTTGATGATAAATGGCCCGAGTTTGGTAATGAGCCGAGAAACTTGAGATTGGCTCTTTCATCTGATGGATTCAACCCCCACAGTTCTCTAAGTAGCAGATATAGTTGCTGGCCAGTTATCTTAGTTACATATAATCTCCCTCCATGGTTGTGCATGAAACGAAAGTTCATGATGTTGACCTTATTGATTTCCGGTCCTAAACAGCCCGAAAATGATATAGACGTCTACTTGGAGCCTTTGATTGATGATTTAACATCTTTGTGGGATGGGATTGGAGGAGTGTATGATGCACATAATGGAGAATACTTTACACTCAGAGCTGCATTAATGTGGACAATTAATGATTTCCCCGCCTATGGAAACTTATTTGGTTTTGTTGTTAAAGGATATAAAGCTTGTCCAATATGCGGCGATGATACACCTAGTCACAGGTTGAAAAATGGCCACAAAATTTGTTACATTGGGCATAGAAAATGGTTACCAATCAATCATCCATATAGGAGGCAACGTGCAGCTTTTAATGGGAAACCTGAATATGGCACGCCTCCTGAGCCATTAACCGGAGAAGAAGTGTTGCATATGGTTGAAGATGGTGACAGAGTTTGTTGGAAGAAGAAATCAATATTCTTGGATCTCGAGTATTGGAAATACCTTCCTGTGAGGCATGTCCTAGATGTTATGCACATTAAGAAGAATGTTTGCGATAGTATCATTGGTACATTGCTGGAGATCCCTGGAAAAAATAAAGATGGGATTGCTGCTCGATTAGATTTATTGAACATGGGGGTTAAAACTGATTTGCAACCCGAGTATGGAGAAAGACGTACTCGTTTGCCTCCCGGGCCTTGGAATTTGTCAAGAGCAGAGAAGAGAGAGGTTTGCAATTCTTTCTATGGTATGAAGGTCCCTGAAGGTTATTCTTCAAATATAAAAAATCTTGTATCTTTACAAGATTCAAGACTTCTTGGCCTTAAATCACATGATTGTCATACCTTAATGCAACAATTGCTCCATGTGGCAATTCGTTCTATTTTGGAGAAGCCTGCAAGGTATGCAATAACTCGTTTGTACTTCTTCTTCAATGCTATATGTGCAAAGACTGTTGATGTTTCCAAGCTAGATAAGTTGGAAGAAGATGTAGTAGTTACTTTGTGTTTGCTTGAGAAGTACTTTCCCCCTTCATTCTTTGATATCATGGTTCATCTAATAGTACATCTTGTCAGAGAAGTTTGTCTATGTGGGCCAATATATTTTAGATGGATGTATCCGTTTGAAAGATATATGAAAGTGCTAAAGGGGTATGTTCAGAATCGTACTCGTCCCAAAGGTTGCATTGCTGAGCGGTATATAGCTGAAGAAGCTGTAGAGTTTTGTACCGAGCATTTATCTGATGTTAGTACAGTTGGAGTGCCTTCAAGCCAAAAGATGGGAGTTTCAAAGCCATTATCAGGTTGCACAGTGAGCGTAGTTGATCGGGACCTGTTGAACCAAGCACATCTATATGTCTTGGAGAATACGGAGGAAGTCCTACCTTATATCGAGTACGTATGAGTTTTATTCTTTAAGTTTCCATTTTAACTTATTTCTTATGTTTATCTTATATGTTTGGGACCGTAATACTTGAATTTTGTGTGTCATGTAGGCAACATATGATCCACATCAAGACCGCTTATCCAAAATTTAGAAAGAGAACAAAGTGGCTGCAGGATAAGCACAATAGCACTTTCATTCAATGGCTACGCTTCAAGGTATATGTTATTGAATAACATATTGGACTTTTAATTTTCTTCTTTCTATGTTAGATTGAATTAAGTTATGATTAATTTGCAGGTTCAAAGTGAACTTAATGAGGAAGACAATCATGGCGTATCAGAAAATTTAAGGTGGCTAGCAGCTGGTCCAAACATGGCAGTGCCATTATATAGGAGCTATCTCATTAAAGGTATTAAATTCAACATCAAGGCACAAGATGATGTGCGGACAACTCAAAATAGTGGAGTTTATTTACTTGCACATACTATGCAAGTTGCTAGTGCCAAGGATAAAAACCCAATTCTCTCAAATATGGGTTTCTATGGTGTCATTCAAGAAATTTGGGACATTGACTACCAAAAGTTTACAATCCCAGTCTTTAGGTGTGATTGGATTGATAATACTTCTGGTCTTGTAGTGGACGAACTTGGATTTACCCTTGTAGATTTGAGTAAAATTGGACATAGGAATGACCAATTTGTTTTGGCTTCTCAAGTCAAACAAGTATTTTTTGTTGACGACCCGATGCATCGTGGTTGGTCGGTAGTGTTATCAATGCCTAATAGAGAATATAATGATGTTATTGGTGATGATGTCTTAGGTGATGTGAGAATTGAGTGTGAGCCATTTACTAGAGGGATGCCAAATGTTGACACATTTGATGAAGTGGTGGTTGAGTTAGGGAGTCAAAATATTCGAGATGGGTGTGAAGATATATTGGTTGAATGATGCTTTATGTAATTGGCAGTGTATGACATTAATTTTGTAATATATTGTAATGTGATTTCTTCACTTTCATTATACACAGGTTTTGGCCACAAAACAATCAGTACAAAAATTACTGGTTCCAGATTACAAACACGACGGTTTTGATAAAAATGTGAAAAACAAACGTCTGTTCTAATAAATAACGACGTTTTGGAGCATTCAACGACCGCAATATATTTACCGACGTCTTAAAGCAACGTAACAATGAAGAACCATGACGCTATTGTCAAACAGTTATCCAGGATAACATGTCGGACAAGCATAAAGAACCGCCATGTAATTCAAAATAACACGACTCCAATCCCATAATACCGACGTCTAAAAGACGAGAACTTTAACTTGAACGTTACAAAAGACGACGTCGTCATGAATTTACCACGTCGTATGTTCTTTCATAAACGAAGTGGAAAAGGATGAATTCACGACGGTATTTGAAGTCCATTAAATTTGTCGACGTTAAGATATATGAATTAGACGACGTTAATTTTTTTAATGAAGACGTATAAATTATTAAACACAACGGTCTTTTTCATGGTAACGACGTTGTATATAGACGACAACGTCGTCCTTTTAAATTACTGTGTCGTAATTAATGACCCCATCATTTTTTCCACGTCGTTTATTTTCAAAATATGACGTATAAATTCTGTAATACATCTCTCATTTATTTTGAACCGACGTTGTTTATTCATTTCAACGTCATCTCTGTAAATACATGCATCGTAAGTAATGACCCTGACATCTATTTCCACGTCATAATTCATAGAAAAATCGAAGTGGAAAATTTATTTTACGACGGTATTTGAAGTCCATTAAATTTGTCGACGTTAAGATATATGAATTAGACGACGTTAATTTTTTTAATGAAGACGTATAAATTATTAAACACGACGGTCTTTTTCATGGTAACGACGTTGTATATAGACGACAACGTCGTCCTTATAAATTACTGTGTCGTAATTAATGACCCCATCATTTTTTCCACGTCGTTTATTTTCAAAATATGACGTATAAATTCTGTAATACGGCTCTCATTTATTTGGAACCGACGTTGTTTATTCATTTCAACGTCGTCTCTGTAAATACATGCGTCGTAAGTAATGACCCTGACATCTATTTCCACGTCATAATTCATAGAAAAATTGAAGTGGAAAATTTATTTTACGACGGTTAAGTTTTAGTTCTCGTCGTTGTATGTTTATCTTGCGGCCATGTTCTGTTAATATATGTCATATGTTTCCTTTTTAACGACGTTTTTTTGTTGGAGTTGGTCGTCTATTCTCATCCTCGACTGTTTTTTATGTCTTTTTGCAGCACAACGACGTCGGTTTTGATTTTTTTGATGACGTTTTTTATTTTAACAACGACGGTTATTCACCGTCGTGGTTTTGTTATGGAAAAGATGTCGGTGGATTCCACGACCATTTGAAATTTTTTTTTTTTTTTTTTTTTTTTTTTTTTTTTTTTTTTTTTTTTTTTTTTTTTTTTTTTTTTTTTTTTTTTTTTTTTTTTTTTTTTTTTTTTTTTTTTTTTTTTTTTTTTTTTTTTTTTTTTTTTTTTTTTTTTTTTTTTTTTTTTTTTTTTTTTTTTTTTTTTTTTTTTTTTTTTTTTTTTTTTTTTTTTTTTTTTTTTTTTTTTTTTTTTTTTTTTTTTTTTTTTTTTTTTTTTTTTTTTTTTTTTTTTTTTTTTTTTTTTTTTTTTTTTTTTTTTTTTTTTTTTTTTTTTTTTTTTTTTTTTTTTTTTTTTTTTTTTTTTTTTTTTTTTTTTTTTTTTTTTTTTTTTTTTTTTTTTTTTTTTTTTTTTTTTTTTTTTTTTTTTTTTTGTGTAGTAGTGTATGGTCAACTCTCAATGCTAGAAATGAAACAACAAGGAACATTGCATTAACCACCAAAAGTATGCAAATTACATAATGAAATTGCACTCATATAAAAGCAAAACAATGACTTGGGAACAAGTCACAGTCTTGCAGGAACAATGAGCACTCTAATGGAAATTAAAAGTATACTCATCCATAAGCCATAAATCAAAACTAGCAGTTAGCTACAAAATTTTACAATACATAAAAGCATTAAGAATGTGCATAACACAAAAGATTAAAAACATATAATTCCGGGAGAGTAGAGAGAAGCATGGGATCCTCATACGTACCATACCTCTACTAAAGGAGTGTCCAAGTTTTTTGATTCCTTTGGCATCAAACATAACACTGTTCTCATTAAATCATACATGTGCAACAGATAGTGTGTATCTTCTCTGGCATATCTGACCATCTCCTCAGGAAGAGGGCGTAATCTCCAATCTGCATTCTGGTATTTTTTGTTAGCAGTAACACCACATAACTGATGTAAAATGTTTATACCAAAATGAACAGCCAATGAACGACGAGCACGTGGCTAAATCATGGACACGTGTTGCCTTCGGCACCTACCTTCGGTAGAAGACCTGCCGATCGCATTATTAGGGCAACCTCGCCTCTCTGGACGCGTGGCAGTCCCACAATTGATGTCCAGAGTCCCACATCGTAATCCTAAACAAGTCGCACGCCTCCCAAGGCCTATAAAGGAGGACAATCATCCCAGCTTGGAGGTAATCAATCAGAACTTACGGCATACTGCCTATTGATCTGTAGTTCAAACTTGCTAAATCCGTACTTACTAAAGCATCGGAGAGCCTTCGGCCGGTACCACACCGGTGCCCTAGGATTTACCGTGTGTTTGCTATCTTACAGATCGCACACCCTACCGAGGACATCAGATACCGAAGAGACAAAATCACTAAGTTACGCGGGAAAGTACCAAACCATTTTTCTGCGTCAACAGTTTGGCGCCGTCTGTGGGAAAACGATAAAATCAACCTACAATTCCTAAAAACAAAACAAATGGGAACCACTTCGGGACCACAGTTCCTGTCAGAGGACGGATTACCGTACGGTATGCCAAGTGGAGCAAGCCCCGCGCTGCACCCTAGCACCCCCTTCGGTAATCCTCCGGCGCTTCAGACCACGGTCGAAGCGGAACTTCTGGCTCAGATGACCTCCCTTTGGAAGGAGATGACTAAACTCCAAGAACGTAATAATCTCCTTTCGTCCAAGGTAGACGAAACCCAACGGTTGCTTAATCAGCAGGAAACACAAAACGTTCAGACCACCGAATCTTCCCAGAGTCAGCAGACCCCCGGTCGGCAGAAGAAGGGAAAGCAGGGGGCAAAGGCAACGCCTGCGCCCTCCAAACAGCTGGTGGTCCCGCCACCCCAGGACCAACCTCACGTACTGAAGAAGGTGTATACCGATTGTCGTCATCGAATAAATGATAAAAAGGATGCCGAACGGCATAGGTCCCCAATCCGAATAAACGCCCGCTTGAGGGACTCCCGGATGAGGGTCCTGGGGGATAAGTCGCCCATTCGGAGGGTTCAGGGCTTGGATTCGGCACTGGAGTCCGATGATGAGTACGTCCCCACCAGGGGCAACGAATTAAGCTACCGTTCGGAAGCTCCCCCAGAGTACTCAAAAGCGAGAACACCAAGTCCGAGGAGAGCTTCCGAAGACTTCAGTTCCGAAGGCGTCCCCAGCCGAGACCCCGTCATCCGCCTACTCTTCCAAAGAATCCAGAAGATGGAGGATGACCGAACCCAGTCCTAGGTCCCTGATTAGGGAAAACTTCGGCCGGGGACCATTTACCGACCGCATCAAGAAGTCCAGATCGTACAGGGAGGTGCAGCCGTTGCGCATACCCTTCTATACCGGTGTGGAAGACCCCTTGAAGCACCTTCACTCCTTCCAATCGGCAGTTGGGTGTAAGGGCCTCAGCGACGAGGGGCAATGTCTGCTATTTCCGTCTTCCCTTACCAAAGCTGCACTGAACTGGTTCTACCGTCTCGAACCAGGGACGGTGGACTCCTTTGATGAGCTGAAGCAAATTTTCCTCAACCACTTCATGATCCAGACGGACCGTTTGTACTCCGCCGATGATCTGTACACGATTCGGCAAAGGGAAGACGAACCCTTACGCGAATACGCAGCGCGCTTCAGTCACGAGTACTCAAGGTGTCCTGAAACGGACGATAGGGCAGCTTACGGTCCTCTCACTTCCGGTATCTCGTGCACAGTAGCAACTGGCGCACGTACGACGAGTTAATGAAGCAGGCGGCAGTCCATGCGAAGGCCGAATACTTCAATTCCAAACCCGGGCCTTCGGCTCGGAAGGAGGAGTCGGCAACGAAAAGTTATCCGGGCCAGACCGACGACTTGTTGGCGGGACACAAACGGAAGGACGACCGTGACTGCCGTCAGGGAAACTCAAAGAAGGGTCGGGAAAGTACGGTCGTAAAGACCACCGAGCTCCCCTACCGAATCACGATTGTGCTCAGGAAGTCTTCACCTCGCTGAACACAACCTACGAGACCGTTCTAATGAACGAACACGACCAGATCCCGAAGCCAACCAACCGAAAGCCCGGTCGACAGGACAATCGGGACACTGGCAAATTCTGCCGATACCACCAGCAGAACAGCCACAATACCGAAGACTGCATCAGTCTGAGAAAAATTGTCGAGCGTTTGATTCGGGAAGGAAAGTTGGATCAGTACCTCGCCAGGCCACCGCAGGCCCCAGCGCCGAATGCGAATCGGCAGATCAACATGATCCACATGATCAGCGGCGGCCCCACTTTGGCGGGACCCTCAAACCGTTCGGTAAAGCAGTATGTGCGTGCCGCCCACTGCCCTCAGGTTTTTGGCATAGAGGACGATCGGTGCCGAAAGTTGCAGAAGGTGGGATGGGAGCCCATCACATTTTGTGAAGAAGAGGAAGATGGGATCATCTACCCCCACGACGACCCAATGATCATTCGGGCCGAGATCGCCGATTACGATGTGGGTCGGGTGCTGATTGACACCGAAAGCTCGGTGAACGTGATTTTTGCCGATGCATTCAAGGGACTGGGGATTGCCGACAGCATGGTCAATCGGCAAATTACACCTCTACTCAGCTTTTCTGGAGATCTGGTCCAACCAGTCGGTAGCATCAGCCTGCCCATCGCCTTCGGCGTCGCCCCCAGGAAAACAATTACCTACGACCAATTCCTCATTGTCGATTGCCCAACGGCATACAACGTCATCATAGGACGAACGGCACTCACAAGGGTCAAAGTCCACTTGTCGCCCCACATGTTGCTGATGAAGTTCCCAACGCGCAACGGTACCGGAGCCATTCGGGGCGATCAGCTCAGCGCACGGACATGTTATGCCATGGCCCTTAGGACGGTAGCTAGCAAACCGCCCATGGAGGCCATGACCTTGCAGGGACTACTGAACGGTAGCGAACCCATTGACGACCCCATGGAGGAAAACCCAGCACCGATAGCGCAGCCCGCCGAGGAGCTCGAGACCGTAATCCTGAACGAGGGGTTCCCCGATCGGTGGGTAAAGATCGGCACCAATCTGGATCCCGACCTCCGAAGACAGTTCATCGACTTCTTACGGCAGCAAGCGGAAGTCTTCGCTTGGTCTTATGACGATATGCCCGGTATATCACCTGATGTCATCAGCCACAAGCTCAGCATTTCCATCGCCCACAAACCGGTAAGGCAAAAGCGCCGATCGTACGATGCCGAACGGTACGAGGCAATGCGTGCCGAGGTTGACAAGCTCAAAGCCATCGGCTTTATCAGGGAAGCGACGTACCCTGTTTGGCTTGCAAACTCGGTCATGGTTCGGAAGGCCAGGGGAGGATGGCGGATGTGTCAGGACTATACCGACCTGAATAAGGCTTGTCCGAAGGACAGTTTCCCCTTACCGAGGATCGACCAGCTCGTCGATGCCACCGCCGGACATGAGCTGCTCAGCTTCATGGACGCATATTCAGGGTATAACCAGATCTTCATGGACCCTTCTGATAGAGAGCATACGGCATTCATCACGGATCGCGGTCTGTACTGTTACAATGTCATGCCCTTCGGCCTGAAGAACGCGGGGGCAACTTACCAACGGCTCGTCAACCGGATTTTTGCCAAATACATCGGCGGCATCATGGAGGTGTACGTCGATGATATGTTAGTAAAAAGCCGAACGGCAGGGGATCACCTGGAAAACTTGGCCCTCATGTTCGGTATTCTAAAGGACTACCGAATGAAGCTGAACTCGGCGAAATGCACCTTCGGTGTCTCTTCCGGTAAATTTCTCGGGTTCATGATCAGTCAAAGGGGTATCGAGGCCAATCCCGAGAAAATAAAAGCCATAATCGACATGGAGACGCCGAAGACGCAAAAGGACATTCAGAGCCTTACCGGACGTGTCGCTGCCCTGACACGCTTCATCTCCAAGGCTACTGACAAATGCGTACCATTCTTCAAAGCTTTGAAAGGGGGCAAACATCATATCGCATGGACTCCCGAATGCGACCAGGCGTTTCAAAACTTGAAGAGCTACATGAGCCAGGCACCACTGTTATCAAAACCGATCCCGGGCGATGTACTACTCCTGTACCTTTCGGTATCCAACACTACCGTTAGCTCGGTATTGATACGGAAGCCAGAGAAGGCGGAGCTACCGATCTTTTATGTCAGCAAGGCGCTTCAGAGCGCAGAGCTTCGGTACCCACCCCTGGAGCAGCTAGCACTGGCCCTGGTCGTCTCGGCGCGAAGACTCCGCCCTTACTTCCAGGCCCACGAAATTACAGTTCTGACGAACTAGCCTCTTCGGCAGGTACTCCAAAAACCGGAAACATCTGGCCGATTGGTCAAATGGGCAATCGAGTTGGGAGAATTTGACATACAGTTCAAACCGAGGCCTGCAGAAAAAGGCCAAGCCGTTGCCGACTTCATCTCCGAGCTCACACCTCCTGCGCTGTTGGAGCCATCATCGCCGAGCGCCATTCCTCTTGCACCAGATAAAATACATACCGAACGTTTCGACACTTCCGTTCCTCTCTGGGTCCTGCATGTGGATGGCTCGGCAAACCAGCAAGGCTGTGGCGCCGGGTTGGTATTAACCACTCCGGACGGTAGCAAAATTGAGTATGCCCTCCGATTCAACTTCCGGACCTCCAATAACGAGGCAGAATATGAGGCCCTCCTGGCTGGCCTTCGGCTAGCCAAGAGCATGAGCGTAAGGCAGATCAGTATTCACAGTGACTCCCAGCTCATAGTAAATCAGATAACGGCAGACTTCGCAGCAAAGGATGCCTCCATGTCAGCCTACCTCTCGGCAGCTCACCAACTACTACAGAAATTCCAGGCCTACGAGATACGGCAGATCCCCAGGTCAGAAAACAGCCACGCCGACGCGCTCTCACGATTGGCTTCGGCAATAAATGACAAGATCGGAAGGAAGGTACCGGTGGAGATATTATCCCAGCCAAGTACAACCGCCGCTGAGGTGTGTACCGTTCGGTACGAAGACACATGGATGTCTCCAATCTATGTCTTCCTGACAACCGGAACCCTTCCTACGGATAAGACCCAAGCTCGGAAACTCCGGTACCGATCGGCAAGATACACAGTCATCGACGATGTTCTGTACAAGCGAGGCTACACGACGCCGTATCTAAAGTGCCTGACCAAGGAGCAGGGGGACTACGTCCTTCGGGAGGTCCACAGTGGGATCTGCGGTGACCACTCTGGATCCCGATCGCTCGCGCACAAGGTCTTCCGACAGGGTTATTTCTGGCCGACTCTTCACCAGGATGCGAACACATTAGTCAGAAGGTGTGACAAATGTCAGCGGTTCGGTAGTGTCCCTCATATTCCTGCCGAGCCGCTGTCGCCGATCGTGAGCCCATGGCCGTTCGCCCACTGGGGACTAGACTTAATTGGTCCGATGCCAGAGGGCAAGGGTCAGGTCAAATACGCTGTCGTTGCCGTAGACTACTTCACCAAATGGGTAGAAGCCAAGGCCCTAGCGACGATAACGGCAGCCAGGGTCGAAGATTTCGTCTGGACGAACATTTGCTGCCGATTCGGCATCCCCTACGCCATCGTCACGGATAACGGCAAGCAGTTTGATTCGGAAGTCTTTAGGGAATTCTGCACCCGACTCAAAATCAACCTGTTCTTTGCTTCGCCAGCACACCCCCAATCGAACGGACAGGTCGAAGCCATGAACAAAATTGTCAAGAAGCTGTTGAAACGGCAGCTTGACAAAGCCAATGGAGCCTGGCCGGAAAAGCTTCCAGAGGCACTATGGGCCATCCGGACATCCTACCGAACGGCAACTAGGGAAACACCATTCTCTATGGCTTTCGGTTCGGAGGCAGTAGTCCCAGTGGAAATTGGAGAGCCTTCCTACCGAACGGAAACCTTCGCACCGAAGGCGAATGAGGAAGCGCTTGCTTTGAGCCTCGACCTGCTCGAAGAACGCCGAGCACAAGCCAACCTTCGGAACGAAGCTTACACGCAATGCGTCTCTCGGTACTATGACTCCAGGGTCAGATCCCGTTCTTTCCGAATCGGAGATTGGGTCATGCGGAAAGTCTCTTTGGCAACCAAGAACCCCACGGAAGGAACCCTCGGACCTTCCTGGGAAGGACCCTACGAAATCATCGGTATGCAGCGATCGGGGACTTATCGACTCAGAGACTCCAACGGAAAGACCCTCGGTCATCCTTGGAATGTAGAGCATTTGAAGTACTATTTCAAATGATGTCACCTGGCCTACGGCAGGGTCACGGAGGAGTCCCAAGGGCCTTCGGCGTTGTAGCGTTTCCTAGCCAACGGCAGGTTCTAAATTGTAAAACGCACTCCAAATTGTACTTTTGCCTTCGGGAGTTTATCAATGAAAGGGCCTATGTTGTATTCGGAACCTTTGTTGTACCTTTCAAACCCTCCAGTTTTCTGTTCAAAAGAAAAGGATACGGTAGGGACCATCGGTCGCAATAAAATACACATTTTTGGCATCGACATCATCCTACCGACTATGGAACAACTTTGTAAATTTTATTACCTTTGTAGGCTTTCGGTAATTACGGGCCGATGCTTTGCCATCGGCAAACACGCCCATTGGTTTCAATCCCGACACTTGGAATTCTGTGCGTAAAAGGAAACTTTACTGGCCAACGGCTAATGATTTTTGTTTGAGAGCCCTCGGCATTAAACAGAAAAATTTCCTAAGTACATTACCGATTCAGAAGTAAGATGCGAATTAAAATCGAAGCGATTAAATTAAAATCAAAACACAACTGTTATAAAAACAAAAACACGCCCACGACGTCAATTATCCAAACAAAAAGATGCCAACGGCATCATAGTTTAACGAAATTACAGAAAATGCCCTCGGCATTACAATTACAATAAATAAAACGGAGGCGATCAGGAGGAAGGGCCCTCGGCATCCGCCCCTTCGGCACCAGTGGCTTCAGGCACCTCCGGAGCGTCTTCCCCCTCGTACTCCTCTATCATTTCTTCTGTGACGCCTTCGGGAAGGGGAGGAGGATCGGCAATAAAGTTCAAGTTGAGCTTCGTCCCAGGATTGTACCACTTGAATCGGTAGATGAGATCCACCATCTCCGCGCCCACCTCCTTGTCAAGAAGGGCGGAGAAATCGGGAGAGTGGCGATACTTCTGGATGGCCTCCTGGCCGGCAGCCTCGATCTCTGATGCCTTGGCCCGCTCCGACTCCTCCAGAGCCACCTGAACGGCATCCTTCGCCTCCATAGCCTCTCCAGGGCTAACGACAGGTCTGCGAACTTGGACTCGTACACCCTAACCTGCCATTCGGCAGCCTGCAAATCCTTCACCAGATTCGCATGATCCTGGATAGCCTTGCCAGCCTCGGCGACCCTGGCCCTGCCGTCTTCGTAGGCCTTCTTCGCCTTTTCAGCAGCGTTGATGGCCCGCTTCATGCAAAGCCACATATCCATCGAAGCCTGCAGAACAAAAGGACATGTCAGCCAAAGTATAAAAAAAAGATCGGTAATCTGGACCTGAAAGTACTCGGGACTTACCGATGCTTGAAGACGGAAGGCGCGACCCGCCTCCTCTCAAAGGAGCTTCTTCGGCAGCTCCTCGATCTCATTCAGCTCCATTTGCGAACCAAGGATCATGTGGTTCGCAAACTGAACCGTCTTCGATGGACAGGCCAGGGTGACGGGATCGGCAGGCTCCTCGTCGTTGTCAGCCGCGAAGATGGCCCGAGTGGGCTATGCCTGCCGTCCGCGCTTTGGGGCCGGTTCGGCATCCAGGTCAACGGTAAAGGGCTGTTTGCCGGCAGCTCGGGAGGAAGCCTCTTCGGTAGAGGTGCCTCGGCGAGGAGAAGGGCCGACCGATGCCGCCCCGGCCTGTGCGGAATCGGTGTTGAGCTGACGGAGACGGTCAGCCAGGGTCTGGTCTTCAGGGTCTGCCGATGCCGAGCCCTGCGGCTGGCTTTTCTTCTTCTTCCCCTGGAAGCCCATCATGAGACGGCGCTTGGAGGACTCGTTCATCCTCTTAGCCTCGGCAGCTCTCCTCTCTTCCGTCACTGCGAATAGAGGGTTCGGTAAGACCCACAAAATAAGAAAAGAAACAATTTACAAAATACAAAGTATACTTACTCTCGGCAGGATCGACCAGCTGGGCCTGAATCAGGTTGGTGGTGAAGAGGAACTGCGGATACACCCTCTCCTCGGCAGTGACTTTCCTCCTCACTCTCTCCACCTGCTGGATCTCGGCCTGCGTCGCGATCGGCTGCTTCAACTTACCTGCAGAAAGAACGGACAGGAAGAGTCACTTACGGTAAACAAGGAACCCAGAGAGGATACCGAACGGTACGTGGTCCTACCAGCTATTTGGAAGGTCGTGGGAATGTGGAATCGGACAGGCTGTCCCGAAGGCGATTCCCAGTCGCCCGAGAGGAGCACCCGCCGATTCCTCCACGACTTCTGCGAGGTCGGTACCCAGCTGACGAAGTGGCCACGATCGGTAGCCCTGAGACAGTTCGCCTGCACCCACCCGCCGTGATCGGCACACTTGGACTTGGTGATGCTGTAGAGGTAGGAGAACTGCTCATAGGAGGGGCTCCCTTCACCGGCCATGCCGAAGGCCGTTATCACTCCCATGAGGGCCACCCAGAAGTTGGGGTTGAATTGCCCCGGAGCGTAGCCGATCTGGGCTAGGATCCTCTGTACCGCCGGCTGCAACGGCAACCGAACGCCTTGCATAAGGACGTCGGTAAAAAAGACTACCTCGCCGTCCTTCGGCGTACTAAGGGATTCAGTGGGGGTTGGGATCCTCATCCGTACCGAGTCGGGAATACGGTATTCAGCTCGGAATTTGGCAATCTCCCGATCGGTAATCTTGTTCGGCCCAAGGTAGTCAACGCCGAATAGGTTTTCCTTCGGCACCCCCATGGGCATCCTAGGGTTGCCTGGGTACACTACCGATACCCTGGGGCCAGATGGCGGAATGGCTGTCGACTCTCCACGACCGGAGGTGGAGGTCTCTGACTGACGGCTACCGCTCGCCCCCCCAGGCATACCGAGGCCCACGTGACGGCCGTCACTATAGACGATGGACAACGGGACGGGAGCGGTTATTAACCCCTTTCCGACTCCGTGTGTTGGAATGGAACTGGGCCCTTCGCCGAGTATCTCGACGTCAGTATCACTCCCGCCCTCGGCATCGGGCCCTGCCGCTCCGCCGTCGGAGTCAAAGAGACCGTCCGATGACTCCTCATCGAACGCATTGGGCTCGCGCTCGGAGAATGACTCGCTATCAGACATCTACAAAAACAGGAAAGAAGGAAACTAAGGCCCATGCCGGATGCTACCCTACCGATCCCTACATCGCTACCTATGGCGACTAGACTACCGAATGGAACCCTATGGTCAGTCTAGTTCGAACCAAGGAAGGACGTAAATCTTAAAATATGCGGGAGATTAAAGGGAAGAGTGTCGAACGGTACCTTAATGTGTACTCTGGAAATCGAGCGCGATCAGCTCTTCAAAAATGCTTCCCTACCGTTCGAAATGCCGGAAATCGCCTGGTTAACCGTTAACGCTCGCCGGAAATCGCCTGGTTACCGTTAACACGTGTCGAAAATCGCCTGATTACTGGAAGCCCTCGTCGGAAATCACCTCAGACAGAGCTCTCACTTCTCACTAGACACAAAGTGGATTCGTCTACGGGGTCATCCCTATTTATAGGAGGGTGGTTGGCAACGGTATTCCTCGAAAAACCAAACGGCGCATTAATGCGCCGCGCACCATCATCACTTGCGCCACGTGTCGCTCATCCTGTGGGGAACAAACGGCAAGCGAGGCGCGGAAGTCGAAGCGCTCAGACGTCCCTTCACCCGTCAGCTCGACGCGACCTTCTGACTTCGCCAACGTCAGCCTCTGAACTGATGATGCCGGAAGGAACAAGGTCTGGCCCCTTCCCCAAAGATCGAGTTACCGGACGGTAGGGCCGTGGTTCCTTCTGAAGACAACTTCAAATCCCCTTCCGAAGACTCTCGCAAGGGGACTTGGGGGACTCCTGTTTATACCAAAATGAACAGCCAATGAACGACGAGCACGTGGCTAAACCATGGCCACGTGGTGCCTTCGGCACCTACCTTCGGTAGAAGACCTGCCGATCGCATTATTAGGGCAACCTCGCCTCTCTGGACGCGTGGCAGTCCCACAATTGATGTCCAGAGTCCCACATCGTAATCCTAAACAAGTCGCACGCCTCCCAAGGCCTATAAAGGAGGACAATCATCCCAGCTTGGAGGTAATCAATCAGAACTTACGGCATACTGCCTATTGATTTGTAGTTCAAACTTGCTAAATCCGTACTTACTAAAGCATCGGAGAGCCTTCGGCCGGTACCACACCGGTGCCCTAGGATTTACCGTGTGTTTGCTATCTTACAGATCGCACACCCTACCGAGGACATCAGATACCGAATAGACAAAATCACTAAGTTACGCGGGAAAGTACCAAACCATTTTTCTGCGTCAACATAAAAGATATTCCAAACTATTTCTCTCCATTTTCAATACCCTTGAGGCCTGGCCAGTATCAAACAAATTGCATATATAAATGCCAAAATCACGTTGGAGCCACATGATATCTCGATCTGCTCCATGCATCACCTTTCTCTTGGCAGGGTCCTTGAAAACTTCCCTAAGATATGGACCAACATGAATTCTAAGCTTCAAAGTATCTACTCTAAAATCTCAGTTCTAGTAGAAATTTGCATCAAGCAAGTCATTCCTTGAAAGGATCGATATTGATTGTGATCCAAATCTGTTAGGATTTTGGCTCGTCAAATATGTCCTAGTTGGTTTAGGATTGTTTTAGGAAAATTAGAGGTATACCAATTCTTGTCCTAGAGGGATTAGGAAAGAATTTCAGTTTTCCTAATTCAATTCAGGTTTGGATTTCTAGAAGTCTATTAGGATTTGGATAAGTGTAATTTCCTAATCCACTTAGGAATAGGAATCCAATCAGCCTTGGGACATGTAAGCCAACTCTATATCTATAAATAGGATGTGGCAAGGGTTATTTTAAGGAGAGGAAAAACAGCCAGAGACAGCCAAGAGTTTTGAGATTAGTTCTAGGATTGCAAAAGTTCTGTAATCTCTATTATTAATCAAAGGAGCGGTGATTTCTCTAGGTAGAGAAATCACAACTGGACGTAGGCAAAAGTTCTGCCGAACCAGTATAATTCTTGTGTGTTTCTAAGTGTTTTAATATTTGCTAGTTTAGTCTATTGCCGTTGGTTACATCAAAGAACAAGATCTAGAAGGCGAGTTATTTAACAAAATCAACCGCAAATAATTTTCAATTTCCAATTGCCAATGCTAATTAAAATCATGGAGTATTCAAGATTACAAACCAGAAGCGTGGTGATTGCAAAGCAGAAGAGCCACGTCATAAAAACTGCTACCTATTAGGAAAATCCAAAAACAAAACTTGACTCAATAGTAGAAACATACCACCAATTTATGTAATTCTTTATAAAAAATGTTAGCTGAGATTGTTGGCTTCGCTTTCAGAATACCCTGAAGGAAAACCCACTTTAAAGAATCTAATTTCCAAAGCATATTAAGCTTCAATTAGAAACAGAACAGTGCATCCAAAAGCTGGGTTTATGGAGAGAGAGAGAGAATGAAAACATGAGTTTACGATAACTTACATAACTCTATACCTTTTTCATGTTGAGCTTTCACTTATAAAAACACTTCAATTTAGACATGTGAAAACTCTAAAATTGGGTTCCCAAATTAAATTTCTTTGTTTTGTCATATAATTCACACTATTAACAAGAAAGATTAAGCAAGCAGTCAATTGGAGTTTTCTCTTTCGTACCAATTTTCTTCAGCGCTACATTCGTCAAACGCTGCCATTTTTTGCGTTCCGAAAGTTACCTGCAAAATGTTTATAAATCAAAATTAAGAAAGAATACCAATTAAAACCAAATTGGGAAGACAGTTAAAAAAACACACTGAGAAATGACAACAATTTGTAAGCTGCGGAGTAAAGGAGGAGTTGGAAAGCATTGAATTTTCCACCCTCAGGTTGCACCCTTTGTAGCCAAAAAGATAAGAAGGATCAACGCCTAAGAAGCACGGACACGGATACGGATACGGTGATACGATACGACACGACACGGGGATACGGGAAATTTTCAAAAATTAGGATACGATACGTCATGGATACGGTTATTATAAATATATATTAATAAATATATATAACCTAAAATATATTTTAAATAGATTATAAATTATAAATTATAAATATAGTGTAGCATTTTGGCTTTCTTTTCTGATTCTTTATATTTTTAGGCATCTATAGCTTTTTTCACCCAAATATATCTTTTACCCAAAGCCCATTTGTTTAAGACCCAAACCCATAAACAAATACATATATATATATTACAAATCCTGTTTTAGCAAACGACGTCGTCACTTGAGATCAGTCTGACATCTTCTTCTTCTCTCCCTCTCTGTCTCTCTCTCTTCCCCTGCAGTCTGACATCTTCTTCTTCTCTTTCTCCCTCCCTCTCTACCTCCCTCCAGTCTGACATCTTCTTCTTCTTCTTCCCCCTCCCTCCCTCTTCACACGCAGCACCCAGGGGCTCCTCAACGGCAAACTTTGCCCGGAGGTTCGTATCCGAAAAGTCAGATACTCATGTCTGGAATGTCGGATACTCGTATCCGTTAGTCAACTGACGTATCCGTTGACTGCGATACGTATCCAATGCGTATCGGACCGTATCAAAGATCGCATGTACAGATTGGTGACGAGGACGACCCCATCCCCATGTGAGGCCACAGAAAAGTTCGAAAAGTTTGTCCCCCAAATAAAGTGAGAGATTTTTTTAAAAGTCAATATTACACCTAACGAACTTAAATACATAAAAAGCTTTCATCCAATTCCCTTGCAAAGAAAAGAAGAGAAAAATGGCTGGAGTTTTGATCGGAGAGGCCTTTATTTCTGCTTCCATTCGGGTGATTTGTGACAGAATTGCTTCACCCGAGCTCATCGACTTATTTCGGCACAAGAAACTGGATCAACCTCTCCTCATGAAACTAAAGAGGACGATGTTGACCTTGAATGCAGTGCTCGATGATGCAGAGGAGAAGCAAATTGAGATACTAGCTGTGAGAGAGTGGCTTGACGACCTCAAACATGCTGTCTTTGATGCGGAGGACTTGCTGGATGAGATCAACTATGAAGCTTTGCGATGCAAGCAGGAAGGTGATGCTCAAACCGACTATTTCACAAGTAAGGTGTCTACCTTCCTCCCTACTTCTCGTAATAAATTTTATCGAAGGATGAATGCTAAGATACAAGAGTTGTTACAAAGATTAGAAGATTTTGTACAACAGAAAGTTGCTCTTGGTCTGAGAGAGGATGTTGGGAAAAAGGTTTCACAAAGAACTCCAACAACATCCTTGGTTCATGAACCTTGTGTATATGGGAGAGATGAAGCCAAACAAAATTTATTAGAAGTGTTATTCGATGATGCAAGCGAGGAAAATGTGTCTGTCATCCCCATTGTTGGAATGGGTGGGGTTGGCAAGACAACCCTTGCTCGAATGCTTTACAATGACAATAAGGTGAAAGAGCATTTTACCCTTAAGGCTTGGGCTTGTGTTTCAGAAGATTATGATGCTATCAGGGTAACTAAAACTCTTCTCGAGTCAGTGACTTCAAAACCTTGTAAAAAGACAGATCTTAATTTGCTTCAAGTTGAGCTAAGTGAAAAACTGAGGGGGAAGAAATTTTTGTTTGTATTGGATGACCTTTGGAATGAGAAATATACTGATTGGAACTACCTCCAAACTCCTTTTACTTCAGGGGCAAGGGGAAGTAAAGTCCTCGTAACAACACGGAACAAAAATATAGCATCTTTCATGCAAAATGTTCCTATTCACACCTTGAAACCATTGTCGCATGAAGATTGCTGGTTCTTACTTGCAAAACATGCAAATGTAAACTCTAGTTCTGATCCAAGATTGGAAGAAATCGGCAAGAAAATTGCACGCAAGTGCAATGGGTTGCCTTTAGCTGCGCAAACACTTGGCGGTGTGTTACGTTCAAGGCCAGACCCTGAGGTATGGAACAGAGTACTAAACAACAGCATTTGGGAGTTACCTTACGAGAAAAGTGACATTCTTCCTGCTCTAGGATTGAGTTATCATTATCTTCCAGCTAAGTTAAAGCGATGCTTTATTTATTGTTCAATTTTGCCAAAGGACTATGAATTCATGGTAGAAGATGTTATTTTTCTTTGGATGGCGGAAGGTTTAATTCCCCAAGCGGAGAATGGGGACAGCATGGAAGAAGTGGCTAAGGAATATTTTGATGAACTGTTATCACGATCACTATTTCAAACTTCGGGAAAATCAAGTTTTGTTATGCATTATCTCATCAATGACTTGGCTGTTTTCGTGTCTAAAGGATTTTGTTCCAGGTGGGAAGGGAGGGAATCACATGAAGTAGAAAGAGTTCGCCATTTGTCATATGCTAGGGAAGAATTAGATGTTGCTGTTAAATTTAAGCCATTAAAAGGGGCTAAGTGTTTGCGTACCTTCCTATCTCTCTCTTTAAAACCATACTACAGGCATGAAAGTTATTATGTAAGTAAAAAGGTTCTACATAATTTGTTGCCATCACTAACATGTTTGCGGGTGTTGTCATTGTCTTGTTATACGAATGTCACTGAGTTACCTGATTCCATTAAAAAGCTCATTCACTTGCGCTATTTGGATCTCTCCAATACTGCAATTGAAACGTTACCCAATGTACTATGCAGCCTCTACAATTTGCAGACATTATTATTGTCAAATTGTTCCCGTCTCGTTGAATTACCTACAGACTTGAGAAAATTGATAAATTTACAGAAATTGATGTTGGGAGGTTGTGATTCTCTTACTAAATTGCCTGTAGACATGTGGGAATTAATTAATTTGCATCATCTTGACGTGAGTGGAACTAAAATTGCAGAGATGCCAATGCAAATGAGTACATTGAAAAGCTTGAGAACATTGTCCGCTTTTATTGTGGGCAAATCTACTGGGTCGACTATTGGAGAATTGGGGGAGCTTCCACATCTTGGAGGAAAACTTTCAATTTTGCAGCTACGAAATGTAGTTGATGCTAGGGATGCCTTGCAAGCAAATTTGAAGGATAAGAAAGATCTCAAAGAGTTAGAGTTGGAATGGGGTGATGAGGATGAGGATGCGGATGATTCCCAAAAGGAGAAAGATGTACTTGAGAGGCTCCAGCCTTGGGTGAATCTGGAGAAACTAACCATCAGTGGGTATGGTGGAAAAGATTTCCCGAATTGGCTAGGCGGCTCGTCCTTGTCCAACATACAAGTCATGCGTATTAGTGCTTGTAGTAATTGTTCGTCGCTGCCACCGGTTGGGCGGCTACCTACCCTCAAAGAGCTCTGTATTATGAAAATGAAACTTGTTAAGACGATTGGTGTTGAGTTTTATGGCAGCACTGGATCTTCTGTAATTCAGCCATTTAAATCACTGGAGAAGCTGGAGTTTTGGTTGATGGAAGAGTGGGAGGAATGGGTACCAAGTGGAAGTGGAGGTGTAGATTTTCCATGTCTCCAGGAGCTCAGACTATTCGAGTGTCCGAAGCTGAGAGGAAGCTTGCCTTGTGATCTGCCTTGCTTGAAGAAGCTTTGCGTGGACAGTTGTGAGGTTTTACATGATCAAAGGGCTACTAGTGTTAAAATGGATTACAAACCTCCCGAAGAATTGATAATAGGAGAAGGATTAGAAACTCAAAGACGAAGACGTGAAGGGTTGCCTGTAGCTGCACAAACACTCGGCGCTGTGTTATCATTACTAGACACAAAGCTCCTGTCCAAACTTGTGATTCGGAGTTTCAATGACATACAATGCTTGCCCAATATCAATCGTCTTCAAAGTTTGAGACTATTTAATTGTCCAACCCTGTCGTCGTTCCCCGAAGATGGGCTACCCACTACGTTGACATTTCTTTGGATAGTCTTTGTAGGAGATTAGAATTACCTCATGAGATGTTGGCCAAATTAACATCGCTCGGGCATTTGTCGATAATGAATAGCTGTGATTCAATGAGGTCCTTCCCGTTGGGCATTTTTCCCAAATTGAGGTCGCTTCACTTTTTAGATTGTAAGAATCTGGAATCCCTTTCCTTGATTGAAGAAGAAGGAGTTGATGAGAAGCTCAATTATCTCTATATCGGACACTGTCCAAATCTGGTGTGTTTTCCCCAGGGAGGATTGCCCACTCCCAACCTGACTGAATTGGATGTTGAGGGATGCGACAAGTTGAAGTCATTACCTGAACGCATTCACACCCTCACACGCCTTCGATCTTTGAAAATAAGGGATCTTCCAAATCTGGAGTCAATTGCAGAAGATGGGGGTTTGCCTCACAACCTCCGACATTTTTGCATTGAGAATTGTGAGAGACTGAGGGCTTCATCCGTGGCAGAGTACTGGGGTTTGCAAGGACTTGTCTCCCTTGAAAAATTTGAAATTCGTGGCAGGGGAAGTGACGAAATCTTGGTGACGTTGCTCAAGCAACAGCTGCTCCCTACCACTCTTCAACGCCTCCAGATCAGTCAACTTTCAAGTCTGAAATCTTTGGACGCAAAGGGACTTAAACACCTCACTTCTCTTTCTTTTCTGAGCATCTCTTATTGTTCTGCCTTGGAAAAAAGGTATAAGAAGAAGACAGGAAAAGCTTGGGCCAACATATCTCACATTCCATGCATCAAGATAGGCGAAGAAGTGATCATATGATATGAGCTCTCTCTCTCTCAGACACAAATTCCTTGCATCCGATCTCAACTCTCAAATCAAACTCAGGTATGTACTTCAAATAACTGGCTTAACTGGTTTTCTTCCAATTGAATCCAAATACCAAAATACATATACTTTTCTGATAAAAAACCCAAATACATATTGGATTTCCCAAATTCATGTCCCAAAATAAACCCAGATGCATATTTGTTACTATTTTTAGGCCCCCAAGCCCAAGTTCATTGTATTATCTTATTTACATATCAGAGATTTTTGTCAATTACATTTGGTACTGCTGTTTACTGATTTCTATTATTATTTTTCTCAATAAAATTTCGTTCTATTTGCTGTATTTCTAATTGGTGTTGTTAAGTCTCAAATGCTGAATAATTAGTAGTCTTTTGCAGGACAGCATACCTTCTCGTAGAGAGCTTTTCATTTGCAAGGTTTCTTTGCGTGCCATTTCCAGACGAGGGGTTTGCCATTGTATATAGCCTTACAATTGTTACAACGAGAAGAAACAGAGAGGCTCGCCTGGAATATCTGAATTTGACGCATATCTGCATACAGGCATCAAATGTACAACATTTTTAGGTACTTTCTCGTAAGCTTAAGTTGAGTCTCGTTTGAGCTAGTTTAAATTGTATTGATGCCTATAGATAACCTGTGAGCTTAAGTTGTTGACTGTTGACTGCTGCTGTTTTTTAAATTCATTCATGTAATGTTAGGATGTTTAAACTCTGGTTTGCGGTTTTAGTTGAGTAGTCTTTGTTTATCCAGTAGATAACTTGTGCCCTGTTTTGTAATGTTTTCTTTTTTCTTTCCCTAATGAAAGAAAACAGAACAGTTTTTACAGTTTTCATCGATGCTTATTGGTTATTTTCAACTGCAGAAGCCTACTTTTGACATAGGTGGCATGGCACAAACTTGCATCCTTACTTCCCTTCGGCATAGGTGGCTTTCTCATCTTCTTCATTCTGTTACCAGCTTGAAGCTTGTGTAGATATGCTTTGCTCTTGTAGTTCTGATCACAAAAATCGGTTCACAAATGGTTATGGAAAGTCACGATTAGATCTATTAGCAGAAGATCTGGAGGTGTACATTCTAATATTTCTTTTCCTTCCATTTTTTTGCCTCCCTCACCATCATAACTTTCTAATGACAGAGAGGTTGGGTGGGGAAGGGGTAGGCAACAAGAGAAATTTGAAATCTCTCACAATTAAACGTGCAGATTAATTTCTAAATAGTCGACGTATTTCAATATCTAGGAATTGGTTATGTTTTTCTCTTGTAGTTCTGAAAACTTTACAATTGGTGGCAGGGGAAGTGACAATATCTTGGAGACGTTGCTCGAGCAACAGCTGCTCCCTACCACTCTTCACACTCAGCACATCAACGAAATTACAAGTCCCAAATCTTTGGACAGAAAGGGACACCTAACTTCTCTTCAACACCTACGAATGGAAAGCTGTCCTAGTCTCGAATTTCTGCAACTTCAACACCTCACTTCTCTTCAAAGGCTATATATTAGTTGGGGTGACAATCTCCAATTCATGCCAAAAGAGGGTTTGCAGCCATCTCTTTCTTTACTGCAGATCTACAAATGTTCTGGCCTGGAGAAAAGGTATGAGAATAAGATGGGAAAAGATTGGGCTAACATATCTCAAATTCCTTGCATCAAGATTACCAATTTTTTTTTTTTTTTTTTTTTTTTTTTTTTTTTTTTTTTTTTTTTTTTTTTTTTTTGAAAACTAACTTTGTCAACTTTGTTGGCTCAGCTTCCAAACTGGGGCCCACTGCCATCTCTATCTCTCTCTCTCTCTCTCTCTCTCTCTCTCTCTCTCTCACATTCCTTGTATCCAATGTTTCACTCTCAACTCTCAAATCAAATCAGGTATGTACTTCAAATAACTGGGTTTCATCTAATTGAATCCAAAAACCAAAATACATATTCTTTCTCTGTTAAGAAAACCCAAATACATACTTGATTGCTAAATTCAGTGTCCAAATAAACCGAGTTACATATTTGTTACTATTTGTATGTCCCCAAGTTCATTGTATTATCTTATTACATATCAGAGAATAACCAAGTCTTTATGGAAAGGGGTCTGCCAGCAATTTCATGAAATTGCAACACCAGAAGAGATTGCTGATGCAATTGATATACCAAGTTCAGTTGGCACCGCGTTGTGTATGGCAGCTGCTCTAAAGAAAGATCATAAAATTGGTAATCCTAGATCCTTAAAATGTCTTGTTAATTGATCCGAAACTTTTATTTGTTTAGTGATTCTTTGTTTTCAATCAGGTTTAGAGGCACTTTTATTACATATTGATTACTTTTGGGATTTTGGTTGATGTGTGAGTATGGCGTCCAAAAATTGATATATAGGATACTATATAATATATATAGTCTAACGGTTTGTGTCTTTTGTTATCTACTTTTATCCTGAGACCTCCTTCGTTTTCCATAAACCGTCAGTTTTGTTAATTAATTGGGTTATGTGTTGATTTTGAGCTCTTAATCATTGTTATTTGGTGTTTGGAGGTTAGTGTTGCTATACTTGCAAGTTACAACAAGTCTTTATTGAGCTCAATTTGTGCTGTACTAGAAAATCTTGTCTAAAAATGTCAAATTTGAAGTCTTTCCTATGTGCATGCTTCTGCATATTTATATTTGTATGTTACAGAGTCTAGATATTCGTGCTTGTTTTATTGATGAATATTTACAAGCTCCAGAACTATAGAGTTGCATTGTCAAACGAATGATCAAGACTTCAAGCTAATGCCACAATAGACACAGAACCTCCAAACTATTTCTTGTCCTTGTTTTTAAGCTGTTTCCGGCCATGCTGACATGTGAGGTGGGCACTAAAACCTTGAATCCCAAATATTGTCAGAAAATATGTGTGATGTTAAAATCTCTCTCTAAAAATCTCTCTCTACTCTTTTCTTTGTATTCCTTTCTTTCCCATGTCATTTGTTTCTCGATTTCCTTTTCCCCTTTTTTGGTAAAAAAATATTTGTAGAATGATAAAATCTAACACAATCATATGATTTTCACATAAAATTTTTGTGGGTTGTGTATTTTGTCATTTACTTTTAATCCGAGACCTCTGACATCTTCCGTAACCATCAGGATTGGCGTAGCTGGTAGGGTAAAATTGATTTCTTGCACGTTGTAGTTCTTGTTGATTTTTTTCTATTTTACATGCCTACTTAGCTGGTAGGGTAAATTGATTTGTTCTGTTTTCCAGTGTTCCACTTAAAGTAAGAAGTAATTTATCTTATGATTAGTATTAGTATTTTTACTTGATGCTGCTTGTAGAACGAAGAGAAATGGTGCATATTTTGCTTGCTTCTGGAGCAGATCCAACTGCTCAAGATGCCCAGCATGGACGGACGCTTTGCATACAGCTTCAATGGCCAATGACATTGAGTTGGTCAAGGTAGTCAAGATAGCTTTCAATTACATGACAACAGAATCTAAAACGCATTTCTTGATTTTTGGTCACTCATCCTCTGTGCATTATTGATGTATCAACACCTTGGAAAATTCATTGCTAGATTATACTTGATGCTGGAGTTGATGTGAACATTCGGAATGTACAAAATACAATTCCTCTTCATGTAGCATTGGCCAGAGGGGCAAAGTCATGTGTCGGACTGCTTCTATCTTCTGGAGCAAATTATAATTTACAGGTTTCTCTTCAATTTATTGAACTTCCTTTGTTGCATCGGTTATATGTTCTCATGGTATCTAATCATTTCTTGTTGATATAGAACTGTAATATGAGAAAAATACAATTTTATATGTGCACATGTGGAGGCAATCTAGTGAGGACCCAATTAGGATTTGCATATTAACTGTTAAGCAGATATGGTTGAAGATGTCTCTCATTATGATATGAAAGTCCTCTAGGTTAGGCCCTTGTTGGAACGGTGTGCACACACACATACAAAGACAGCTTTTATCTCTTGATGATGCCTAATGACTTTGTCCTTATCTTTTTGCAACTTAAACCAGATTTCTGTTTGAGTCATCATCAGCCTTATGTATTTTGCTCATTGCTATCAGGATGATGAAGGTGACAATGCTTTCCATATAGCAGCAGATGCAGCAAAATGATACATGAAAATCTTGAATGGCTTATTGTTATGCTTAGAAATCCTGATGCTTCTGTTGAAGCCAGAAATCACAGGCAAGTGCCAATTAAGGCATTGCTCTTTTTTGTGGCTTTACCATCATTTGCAAGAGATTCTCTTCTTACAAATTTATATACTATTAAGTGTGTTTGAACTTGTACATCTAATTGTTTATAAGAAACAAAAATGATGACTACCAGGTTGTGAACAAGTTATTAATGACTATCAGGCCTTTGAAATTTTGCATTTAATCTATTAGGAAACTGATTGGGAACTCCATAAAGGTGCCAAGGCACAGGGTAAGCTATCCAATATATTAAACAATTTAAAAATTTGACTTTGATGACAGCGGCAAGACATTACGTGACTTTTTGGAGGCCCTTCCCTGGGAATGGATATCTGAAGATCTGATGGAGGCACTTGTAAATCGGGGAGTTTTTCTGTCTCCTACAATGTGAGAAGAGATTATATCATTGTGTTGTTCTGATGGCATGTCTAATAATGCTTCCTTGCGACTAGTAGATTTCATAATTCTTGTTTTCTCTATGGTTTAGATTTGATGTGGGAGACTGAGTGAAATTTAAAAGAAGTATAACAACTCCTACATATGGCTGGCAAGGTGCAAAACATAGAAGTGTTGGGTTTGTGCAAGGTGCCCCCAGATAAGGACCATTTGTTAGTATCATTTTGTTCCGGAGAGGTTCGTGTTTTGGCAAATGAAGTTGTAAAAGTTATTCCTTTAGACAGGGGACAGCATGTCCAGCTGAAACCAGATGTCAAAGAGCCCAGGTTTAATTCTGAACAGTTTCTATATTTATACAAAGTGGTGGCATCTTATCCAAGCTTTAATTGTTACATAACTGTATCTCGTCTCAAGCATTTAAAATGAAAGTGACATTAGCCCATAATTTAAAAGGTATCAAAAAGACCGTCTTTTAGTTCAATGTTAGCAACATTTCTCCGACATTTGCAGGAGATACCATGGAGCCCTCCTGCAAGTCCTGATGAGTAAGAATTCAAGTACTGTTTATACTCTTGAATTTTCTGGTATTTTTGTTAGTGGCATCTTGACTTGATCCTTGCTGATGCTGTTGGATGAAGAACAAATATTATGTAGATATATATTTTTTTCAATAACTCGGGATATCTGATTATTTCCCAAGGGCAGAATGAACAACATATATATAGAAACTGAGTCAGTGATGCTGGGTTCTCTCAATGCATGTGGGCCCAATCCACAGAGAGAGCAAGATCAATATATTGAAATTTATAATTTGCTAATTACGTTAGATTGAGTGACATCTTGAGTTTTTGAACACAGTGGTTTAGCTGAATGCTCTGGATCAAATGTGACAGAACCGTCTCCTGTATCCCACTCAGAAGTTTTTCACGCTAACCCCACCCTTCTGCATAGACTTGTGTCCGAAGGGGATGTACACGGTGTTAGGTTAGTGCATTTCATTCCCTAATTATTTGGGCTATTTATTTTTAAACCCAAAACTGTTGTCTTATTCTCCTCATGCCACACTCTTTGGTTATACAGAGATCTGCTTGAAAAGGCTGCAGCAGAAAGTGATAACAGCGCAGTATTGTCTTTATTAGAAGCTCAAAATGCTGACGGCCAAACTGCTCTCCATTTGGCCTGTAGACGTGGTAGTGCAGAACTTGTTGATGCCATTTTGGAGCATCGAGAGGCGAATGTGGATGTCTTGGACAAAGATGGGGATCCTCCTCTTGTTTTTGCTTTAGTTGCTGGATCCCCAGAATGCGTTCGTGCTCTCATTAACAGAGGCGCTAATGTGAGATCTAGGTTGCGGGAAGGCTTTGGCCCGTCTGTTGCTCATGTCTGTGCCTATCATGGCCAGCCTGATTGTATGCGTGTAGGTCTCAGTTACATGGATAATGAAATATAATGTTTAATGATATTTCATTTTTGCTTCATAACGTTTTTGAAAGGTGTACTTTTAACATATATTTTGCATAATTTCAGGAGTTACTAATGGCTGGGGCAGATCCTAATGCAGTGGATGAGGAAGGTGAATCTGTACTACATAGAGCTGTTGCCAAGAAATACAGATTGTGCACTTGTCGTTTTGGAAAATGGGGGCTCTAGGTCAATGTCCGTTTTAAATTCAGAAAAATATACGTAAGTACGAAATTGATTTTCATTTTCTTTAATTTTTGTTTACTATAAGAGTAATGTGCATATTTTTACCTCTCTGGTAATGAAATTCATTGATGATGTGTGGTGCGATATCAAATATTTGTGGATTTTTTTTAATGGGCACAATCCACTGAGCCACAATCAGGTCTGAATAAAAAGTCATTGACTCATTTGTGTAGAATTTAGTGCGTTTTGAGATACAGAATTCTAGTTTCTTTGAATGTGAAGTATACAAATTGAATGCAAATATTTATACGAATAGATATTCAAGTCTTAGAATGCAGTCAGCCAAATCTTAACCCCTTCATCTGGGCATAAAGCGTAGTTACCAGTGGGCATTTCCAGCTTTACCTCTGTTCATGCCTTCCCAACTAAGATCCATGATATTATGACTTTAATATGTTGTAGAATTAACTTGTCGGAGGCTTACATATGACTATCACAATGTGTAGTTATATTGATCTTGTTTAGTGGTTAGCCCCATGTCAGCTCTTTTAACATATCGTGTTGGGTAGCATTCAATAAGATCTGAATGTATATTTTGATCTTTTTAAAACAGATCATATTCACAAGATTTGTAGATGCGGTACCCTGATAGATGTTTTTGTTAGCTCATGTCCAATAATTTAATCCAAGTAGAAAAGTCAAACATCCATATATATACATTATCCACAAGACCCATGATAATAAAATTATGGAGAAGAAAAGATTAATGTATCTGCCTCTTACAGAATGAAACATAATTCACTTTCGATATCATGATAATGAATCTGTCTCACAAACACATTATCTCAAGTCCTTGACACAATCTAATTAATTTATTATTATTATATTATTATTATTTTTTACATCATGATAATGCATCGGTCTCATACATATATAATAGGTTATAAAGTGTAACATTATTCATCTTGATAATGTATATGTCTCACATATACTTTACTGTCTCTATCTTCATGCATAATTTTATATTCATCCGAGTCTTGTTCGATAGATCTTGACGAATATTTTGAAATATAAAGTTTTTATGTAAAACAGACATGAAGTTATTGTTTTTATAATTCGATTAAACATTGTAGTTTATATTGAGACTGAAAAACACAATAAAATAAAAAAAAAAAAAAAGAAAAGAAAAAAGAAAAGAAAAAAACAGCGGCATTAGCAAACATTTGAAAAAAAAAGAAAAAGAAGAGCAAGTCAGCCCATAAAAGTAGGCAGACAAGTCCTGAACTAATCCAAAGGAAAAAGAAAAACGTTTGTACTTTTGATTGAGAAAAGGTTTGACTTGGGATCTCAGGCTAATCAACGAATCATATAATTTCTTATAAAAATACCTAATTATATATGTACGCTTTCCTTAAAAGGCAGGGTTTACTTGGATTTACAAGTCTGGTGATGTGTCAGATTGTTTAAATGTATTTAAAAGGTGCAATATTGTTGGTGAAATATACTGATTGAGTCTGTTGGAGTCATTGGCCCATCATTCCTGAGCTTGTGATTCAGAGGACATGCTTAGTAGTAGACCTGACAATTGTCACCTTTTTAGTAAGCATAATATATATATATATATATGTATGTTTCTGCAGTTTGATTGTTTATAGCCCAAAGCATTTGCTTTTATCTATTAAAATTGTTAAAAGTAGTCGCATGGTTTTGCACTTGCAAGTAGTGCGTATTTGATTGAATCTACATAAAGATTTTGACCTCAATGTTTGATTGCCCTGTTAAATTCTTATCGTATCATAGACCCATTGCACTTGTGTGTGGCAACATGGAATGTTGCTGTTGTTAGAAGGTGGGTGGAAGTTGCAACACCAGAAGAGATTGCCGATGCAATTGATATACCAAGTTCAGTTGGCACCGCGTTGTGTATGGCAGCTGCTCTAAAGAAAGATCATGAAATTGGTAATCCTAGATCCTTAAAATGTCTTCTTATTGATCCAAAACTTTTATTTGTTTAGTGATTCTTTGTTTTGAACCAGGTTTAGAGGCACTTTGATTACATATTGATTACTTTTGGGATTTTGTTTGAAGTGTGAGTATGGCGTCCAGAATTGCTATATAGATACTGTGTAATCTTTATATATATATATATATATATATATATATAGTCTAATGGTTTGTGTCTTTTGTTATCTACTTTTATCCTGAGACCTCCTTCGTTTTCCATAAACCATCAGTTTTGTTAATTAATTGGGTTATGTGTTGATTTTGAGCTCTTAATCATTGTTATTTGGTGTTTGGAGGTTAGTGTTGCTATACTTGCAAGTTACAACAAGTCTTTATTGAGCTCAATTTGTGTTGTACTAGAAAATCTTGTCTAAAAATGTCAAATTTGAAGTTTTTCCTATGTGCATTCTGCTGCATATTTATATTTGTATGTTACAGAGTCTAGATATTCGTGCTTGTTTTATTGATGAATATTTACAAGCTCCAGAACTATAGAGTTGCATTGTCAAACAAAGGATCAAGAGTTCAAGCTAATGCAACAATAGACACAGAACGTCTAAACTATTTCTTGTCCCTGTTTTTAAGCTGTTTCCAGCCATGCTGACATGTGGGGTGGGCACTTAAACCTTGAATCCCAAATATTGTCAGAAAATGTGTGATATTAAAATCTCTCTCTACTCTTTCTTTTGTATTCCTTTTTTTTCCCATGTCCTTGTGTTTCTCGATTTCCTTTTCCCCCTTTTTGGTAAAAAATATTTGTAGAATGATAAAATCTAACACAATCATATGATTTTCACATAAAATTTTTGTGGTTGTGTATTTTGTCATTTACTTTTAATCTGAGACCTCTGACATCTTCCGTACCCATCAGGATTTGCATAGCTGTAGGGTAAAATTGATTTCTTGCACTTTGTAGTTCTTGTTGATTTTTTCTGTTTATGTACCTACTTAGCTGGTAGGGTAAAATTGATTTGTTCTGTTTCCAGTGTTCCACTTAAAGTAAGAAGTAATTTATTTTAATGATTAGTATTTTTATTTTTACTTGATGCTGCTTGTAGAAGGAAGAGAAATGGTGCATATTTTGCTTGCTTCTGGAGCAGATCCAACTGCTCAAGATGCCCAGCATGGACGGACGCTTTGCATACAGCTTCAATGGCCAATGACGTTGGGTTGGTCAAGGTAGTCAAGATAGCTTTCAATTACATGACAACAGAATCTAAAACGCATTTCTTGATTTTTGGTCACTCATCCTCTGTGCATTATTGATGTATCAACACCTTGGAAAATTCATTGCTAGATTATACTTGATGCTGGAGTTGATGTGAACATTCGGAATGTACAAAATACAATTCCTCTTCATGTAGCATTGGCCAAAGGGGCGAAGTCATGTGTCGGACTGCTTCTGTCTTCTGGAGCAAATTATAATTTACAGGTTTTCTCTTCAATTTAGTGAACTTCCTTTGTTGCATCAGTTATATGTTCTCATGGTATCTAATCATTTCTTGTTGATATAGAACTGTAATATGAGAAAAATTCAATTTTATATGTGCACATGTGGAGGCAATCTAGTGAGGACCCAATTGGGATTGCATATTAACTGTTAAGCAGATATGGTTGAAGATATCTCTCATTATCAGCCGTTAAGAAGATATTAGCCATATCTTATCATATGAAAGTCCTCTAGGTTAGGCCCTTGTTGGAACGGAGTGCACACACACTGTTAAATAACCCGCCTTCTAGATCTTGTTCTTTGATGTAACCAACGGCAATAGACTAAACTAGCAAATATTAAAACACTTAGAAACACACAAGAATTATACTGGTTTGGCAGAACTTTTGCCTACGTCCAGTTGTGATTTCTCTATGTAGATAAATCACCGCTCCTTTGATTAATAATAGAGATTACAGAACTTTTGCAACCCTAGAACTAATCTCAAAACTCTTGGCTGTCTCTGGCTGTTTTTTCCTCTCTTAAAATAAGCCTTGCCACACCCTATTTATAGATATAGAGTTGGCTTACATGTCCCAAGGCTGATTGGATTCCTATTCCTAAGTGGATTAGGAAATTACACTTATCCAAATCCTAATAGACTTCTAGAAATCCAAACCTAAATTGAATAAGGAAAACTGAAATTCTTTCCTAATCCCTTTAGGACAAGAATTGGTATACCTCTAATTTTCCTAAAACAATTCTAAACCAACTAGGACATATTTGACGAGCCAAAATCCTAACAATCTCCACCTTGGTGAGTCAAACCAAGTCTTGATCGTTGCACCCCAGAGTATCTTTGAACCTCCTTGAAGCAGCTCTGGAAATCTTCAAGAGTCTTCACCTTGGCAATCTTCTTCTTGCCTCATTGCACCTCAAGTGAGGAGGTGCTCCACTTTAATCAATCAACGAGATTGATCAAGTTCAAGCAATGCTTGAACTTCTTGGCCGCACTATCTTTGTAAGGAAATCTGCAGCATTGTCATCCGTATGAATCTTTTTCAATCCAAATCTCCTTAGACTCCACCCAATTTCTGATTTTGTGATATCTTGCTTCAATGTGCTTTGATCTTCCAGAAAAAACTTGATTCTTTGCCAAGTGAATGGCACTTTGACTATCACACTTCAGCTTCACACAATCTTGGGTGATTCCCATTTGACTTACCAAGCCATTAAAGCCAAATTGCTTCCTTTCCAGCTTCGGCCAATGCAATATACTCTGCCTCTGTGGTCGACAAAGCTGTAATTGGTTGCAGTAGTGCCCTCCAACTGATCGGTCCTCCTGCGCATGTAAACACATAACCAGAAGTTGACCTTCTCTTGTCCAAGTCCCCTGCATAATCAGCATCCACATATCCCAACACCCTTGCATTTTCTTTTTGCTTCTCAAACATAATCCTTTGTCGCCAAGAACCCTTCAAATAACACAAAATCCACTTGACTGCATCCCAATGTTGCTTTCCTGGATTTGCCATGTATCTGGAAACGACACTGATTGCTTGAGCTATGTCTGGACATGTGCATACCATTGCATACATAAGGGCAGCCCACGGCATTAGCATAAGGAACCTTCTCCATTACTTGCTGCTTTTCCTCGGACTTAGGACACTGTTGCCCACTTAACTTGAAGTGAGCTGCCAAAGGAGTCAAAACTACCTTTGCTTCTTGCATGTTGAACTTCTCAAGAACCTTCTGAATATACTTGGCTTGTGATATCCAAATCCTTTCAGCGGTCCATCTCTCTGAATTTCCATGCCAAGGATCTTCTGTGCTGCACCTAGATCCTTCATGTCAAACTCCTTGCTCAACATCTTCTTCAAGTCTTGAATTCTAAACTTGTCTTGACAAGCGATTAGCATGTCATCCACATATAGCAATAGCAATATGATCATCCCTCTTGGAACACATGATAGTACACACAACAGTCATATAAACATCTTCTAAAATTGATTTTCAACATGAAGTAATCGAACCTCTTGTACCACTGTCTTGGAGACTGTTTCAGGCCATACAGGGACTTCTTTAGCTGACATACTAGGTTTTCTTTCCCATATTCAACAAACCCTTCTGGTTGAGCCATGAAATTGTCTCCTCTAGATCCCCATGAAGAAACGTTGTCTTCACATCCATCTGCTCAATCTCCATGTCATGCTGAGTTGGCATTGCTAAAAGCAATCTGATAGAAGTATGCTTAACTACGGGTGAAAAGATCTCATCATAATCCACCCCTTCCTTTTGTGAGTACCCTTTAGCCACGAACCTTGCTTTGAATCTCACGGCATCTTGTTCATGTAGTTCTTCCTTTTTCCTAAAACCCCACTTGCATCCAACTAGCTTTCTGTCTTTGGGCTTAGGAACCAACTCCCAACAGAGTTCTTGTAAAGAGACTCCATTTCTTCTGTCATAGCACTTATCCAACTATCTCGCTCATCACTTGCTATAGCTTCTCGATAGTAGTTGGATCTCCTTGACTAATGTTGAGAGCATAATTAACTTTGTCTTGGTCAAACCCAAACCTGTCAGGTTGCTTCTTGTTCCGATTAGGTTTGTCCAGTGCTATGCATCTCTAGAATGTAGGTGGATTGTTGGTTGGAGTTAGAACCCTTTCGGATGTCTGGCGGATTAGAATGCCTTCAATCTGCCTTGTTTCTTGCTCCACCTGATTCCTAACTGGAGAACAATGCTAATGCTCTTCTTCTTCCTCAAAACCATCAGATTCGGCATCTTGCTCAATTTGCTCCACCTGAGTTGCTTCTTCGTCTGAACTGATTAACGGAATCTTTATTGCTTCAATTTCAACATCGTCTTTCTTCTCCCTACTGCTCTCGACTTTATTCAGAGGCATGGTTGTCTCATCAAAGACAACATCTCGACTGACAACCTTTTTCCTGTTGTTGATATCCTAAAGCTTGAAACCCTTCACTCCTTTCTCAAAACCTAAGAATATGCAATGTGTGGACTTTGGTTTGAGCTTGGACCTTTCATCACTTGGAATATGTGCGTAAGCACTACAGCCGAATACCCTGAGCTTGGAATAGTCCACCGCTTCTCAACCATACCTCTTCTGCACTCTTAAAACGAGAACTGTATATGGTGATCTGTTAATCAAATAACTTGCATGATTAACAGCCTCTGCCCAAAAACTATCAGGCAATCCTGCATGAAATCGCAAGCTCCTCTCTCTCTCCATGAGAGTTCGGTTCATCCTCTTAGCAGCTCCATTTTGTTGGGGATTCTTCTTTACTGTGAAGTGCCTTGTGATGCCTTCTTGCTTGCAGTAATCGGTAAACTCATTACTTGTATATTCACCTCCATTTTCACTTCTCAGGTACTTGATCTTTCTTCCAGTTTGATTCTCGGTTTCTGTTTTCCATTCCTTGAACTTTGCAAAAACCTCGGATTTCTGCTTCATGAAATAAACCCAAACCTTTCTAGAAAAATCATCCATGAAAGTAACAAAATACCTGGCTCCACCATTTGATTTGGTTGGTGCAGGGCCCCAAACATCTGAGTGAATATAGCTGAGTTGCTCCTTGCTTCGGTTATCTGCATTGCTACTCGTGAATGATACCTTCCTTTGCTTTCCAAGAACACAATATTCACAAAAGTCCAGTTTGCAAGATGACACGCCTTCCAATAGGCTTTGCTTGTGTAATTCTTGCAACCCTTTCTGGCTTATGTGCCCGAGCCTATGATGCCAGAGTTCAGTCTTGTCTTCTATACCTTGATTTACAAAAACAGCTGCTCCCCCGACTATAGTGGTCCCAATTAACTTATACACTTATTGGGTTGTAGGTCACCCCGCATTACCACCAATGATCCTTTGGCTACCCTGAGTCTTCCCTTTTTAGACTCGTACCCATAGTCAGCCTCATCTAAAGTACCCAAAGAAATCAAGTTCTTTTTTAGTCTAGGGACATATCTAACGTTCCCCAAAACTCGTATCATCTCATCAAACATTCTGATTCGAACAGTGCCGATTCCTTTTACATCTTGGAGTTGTCTTCTTTACTAAAAAAAGGATCAGTTTTCTTTGTAAAGATTCCCCCTTTGTTTATGTGTATGTATGTGCATACATACAGCTCTTGATATTTATCAGAGGTTTATTTCATAGGTGATTTACTTAGACAGACTCTGCTTTTGAATAATATAGTAGTAGAGTGCTTATTTGTGTGGTGATTGCAGGACTAGTTCCTGTGCAGTGACCATTTGTGTGGTGATTGTAGGACTAGTTCCCTGTGCAGCACAAGAGATTGAAAGGTTTTCTGAAGATACGAGAAACAAGGTTTGTATGCCAAAGATTGGGGCACAAAGTTCAGATCTTGGCCGAGTTTCAGCTAGATTTTTGGTTGCTATTTCTCCAATTGGTCAAAGACACTACTTGTGCAGAGACTTTTGCATTTATACGGAAGAGCTTATTTTATTTGGCTTGATATATTATGCTTGAGGATTAAAAGAAGGAAATTTTTGGATATGCTTCAAAATCCCGCGTTTAGAACATTAATGAATCATCAGAAAGGCTTCAGCTTTAGATGTTAATAAGGGATTGAATATGTATTAAGCAGAGTCTAGTGTATGGATCCCTGGTGGTGCTTTCCTCTTAGTCATTTACCTGTCAAATTCTGTGACTCATCTTTGATGTTCCCTGGAAAAAAATCTTTCTTCTTTCATTGTTCTTTTGAGTTATTCCCATCTGTAACTTATCCTTGATGGATGCTTCTTCTTGCAGTTAACTTCATAGCTGTAATAACATACCACATTTTGCCTGACAGTAGGATTTTCGGGTTGCTTATTGCCTAAGTTTTGTGCAAAAGAGCTATTTTCTTTTTCTTTCTTTTTTAAATTCAAAAAGGGCTTTAATTTCTTTTCTTGGTTACTCAAAAGAGTGTTTGTTTCTTCGTCCTTCTCATTCATCTTACTCCTTTAAATTTTGGAATGCAGTGATCTCAACACCCTGATAGTGAAATGGCGAAATCACAAGGCATCACAGTTTCTCCTCCTGCGCAGCAGCAAGGAAGCAAAAATGTTCAGACTGGACGTCCCCAGAATATACTCACCTTAAGCTTGACTAAAGGAAATACAACATATGATGAATTTAAACATGGATTCCCATCTGATGGCTTATCCACTGCATCCAATAAATGGTGGGGAAGCAATAGCCCTGATGGTTATGAGAGCATCCATGGAGAAGGAGCTGAGACTGATGAAGACAAGAAACATCAGTCGGAAAAATTGGCAAGTGATGGTGCAAGTTCAACTGTAGTGGACAAAGAGAAATGTGAAAGTGGGAAAGAAGAGAACATTAGTTCCCAAGGAACAGATTTACTGATGGCTGTGAGAAAAAGAAGTCTGGAAGAAGGGCAAAAAGCACTTAAGCTTGGTGTTTTACGGGGTTATGGTGAAGCTAGGCAGAAGGGAGAGGGCATTGCTTCTCCGAATATTCTCTCTTCAATCGTAGTTTGACTGCTCTGGACATTATAGATTATATATAATTCATGTTAGGTTACACAGTTTTTTCTTTCGACATGATTGACAATCATATTGAATTCTCAATCTGAATGGCATTTTCTTTTTTTATTTGGCCTCAGTCTGAATGGTATTGTTTTGTTTTTCTTTATGATGACCATGAGTTTCATAGACCCCATTGGTTGATGGAATCTTGAGAGAGGTTTCCAAACCACAAAAATATTGTACTGCTACTGTTTACCCCACAAAATCATTGTCCCTACTTCCTTTTCATTTGTTGCAATGGTTGTTTGACATTGATTGGTTTATTTATTTTGCTTTTGTTTTTGCCTCTGGTACTGTATTCATGTCTTTGCTTGCTAGTTCCCTTTTTGGGGTTTTCAAAGGTGTAACTTTGGTGGTTTTCAATGCCACTGCTAGTGCATCTTCTTCTTATTTCTTGTCAAAGTTGATAGGGAGGCACATCACATTGTCTTCTCTATTAGGCCTGACAAGCTGCAGTTTTTCCCAAACCAGGTAAATTCAAATGTCTCAATATCTCTCTTGATAGGGCTCTCTCTCTCTCACACAAACGAGCTACTTAAGTAGCTATCAAACGGTCAAAAGTGAACGTTAAATACTGCACCATCATCATCCTCTTCACCAACCCACTTTGCTCGCTGCATTTTTTGTACAAGAGCTCCACGGTTCGTGTAAGTTCTCATTGCTTCTTTGATCAATTTGCTTCGAGTTAGCTCAAAAACTTAAACTGCAATGCTTCTAATTCTACTTTGAAAGATTGGAATGAAATGAGCAAGTTTCTTGGCGGTTGGCCCCCAATTGTGGAACTAATTATCTGGGATTAGTTCACTGCTCAAAACAATATGGTAGCAATAAATGAGCAATAAAGTGACAATAGACGAGCAATAAACATGCAATACAAAAACAATACTGTAGCAATAAACGAGCAATAAAGTGACAATAGACGAGCAATAAACATGCAATACAAACACAATACGTTAGCAATAAACGAGCAATAAAGTGACAATAGATGAGCAATAAAAATACAATAAACAAATTGTGGGCTTTTCTTTTCTTGTGCAATTTGAAAAGAAAAGGGGAAAGAAACAGAAATTGTCAAGATAAAACTGGAAAAAGAAACAGAAAGTGATTATATCAGACATTTCCCCTTACAAAATTCTATACTGATAATGATAGCCACCCCAAGCTAAGGACGGCTCGGCATAAATTAATACAACTTCAGTCAGACTATGGCATTATACATATCCCTTGAAATACAATATACAAATTGCTGGCTCAAAGAAGAGTAACAAAATTTTGATTCCAAATCCAGCATTTCAGTACAAATTGATGACTATAATGTCTGCGTCCATCTTGAAGATGAAATTCTTTCCACCATCTTGGAGGCCTGACATAATGCTCTTTGATAGTCACCCACCCTTCTTTAAAAAAGTTCGTCTTTCCTCTGCAGGAAAAAAAGAAAACAGAAAAACCAAGATCAAGATCAATTGTCCTCCAAAAATATAGCTTAATTCTGCAGAAGATACTAGAGATGATTTGAGGCCATTAATACTCGAGGGCTATCCTTCAAGCTTAAGTAATTCATCATGCATCTGATCCATAATGAAGCTAAGGGAACTCTTGAGCATCTTCTTGTCTTAAAAACAAAAATAGTTTCAATAGGCAAAAATAGTATCAAATTTTGGACAAGCTAGGTAAATACATCTCAGATATTAAAGATTGTAAGAATAAAGAATCCTGCCACACACCCATACCTTGAATTAACAATGCTGGACTTCCATCCCTTGGAATTGAGGTTTTATCTACAATGACAAAAGTGGCCCCATTTTGGATCTATCCAAATTAACAATGAAGAAGAGTGAAATGCAAAACATGATATGATTCGTCAAACTCTCAAAACTAAGTCAAAACATAATCAGGTAAATGCCATAAGAAAGGCCATGACTGAAAACGCACTGACCCAATATCCTTTTTCTTTTTTCTTGATGTACCAATAGTACTTTTAGAAGGAAATAAATAAAACATATTCTTCCACTAACATATATAGACATGCCCACTAATTTTTATTTGGCCAAGGAATCCAGGTTCTTACACCCTACAAATAGCTTAGGTAAAGATCAACCTATTTATTAAATGTCCACAGCCTCAAATTCACTGAGCTTCACATGGATATACAATGCCTCTTCTATAGATTACTATTTTCCAATGACTTGACAACTTTTGCTCATCTTGGATCTTCTTTAATTACGAGGAAACTAAACCAAAAAAAGGTGAGAAAATATCATGAAAAGAAAGTTATTAGATACTCAGAAACCATTAAAGATTCTACTCAATATAAAATCTCTATAACACGTTTATCCGAAAGTCTCTATGACTCTTGTTTAATTCAATTGCAAGACCAAGCAGATTGTTATTACTCTTCACCAACACAGGAAAAAAAAAAGGAAAGGTAAAATATAAACATTCACAAATTACCTCATCAACTGCATTGTCAAGTAGATCTGCTATGGCTGAAAACAAGAATAAAAAAAGGAATGTACTGTCCTTGTCAAAAAGGAAAAAAGCACAACATACATAAAGTTGAATTCATTAACATATACATAAAAGAATGAAGTAAGATTGAATTTACCACAAAATGCCCATTTATGTGAAGTGGCATTTGCATGAAGGAACATTGGGTGGACATGTAGATAGTTTTTGCCATCTGTGATCCAGAAAGAGGAATGTCATAGAACATACCATGCATAAACAATATTAGATGCAGAAGATTGCAAATATTGCATTGTATATGAAAAACCGTATCATCGAAACAAAAGTCATCACCAGAAAAATCATGAAAACTCGTGAAAGAGCCTCAACAGAATTAGTTGGCCTACTAATCAGACAATATATGCTTTAACCACCAATATTAGTAAAATTCCAGATGCACTACACTCAAGTACAAAATATAACAGTAGATAGTAGAATACTTTGAATTGTGACTTTAGAACCAATGCCATCATTGTAGTTCCCAGCTTTCCAAAATTGCCGACAAAGTGGTGCTGGAGATCAAGGCGATGTATAAGAAAGGCCAGTATCATCCACTGGTGACTGCCCTTGGTCTAATATACTAGAGCTACTGTGACCAGTACTTAGAGCATTTGAGCTCCTATTTTCTTCAGATTCTCATATTGCACATGGGGTTTTTGACTTTTGATGCTTCTCAAGTAGAGCCTTATTGTTCTCATTCTGTTGCAATTTTCTTGCAACGAGACCTGGCTCCAACTTAACAGGTTTCACATCAACCTCTCCAAGTTCATCATCGCTGGATAAATCTACAATGTCTGTTAAGGTCATCCTGCACACTAAAACAGAAATTAAACATGCATGCAACCAAGTAAGCATTTTAAATAAACAATGGGCATAACTCCTACAACACCATAACATCAAAAAGCAAGCAGGACATGAAAATTCAAATTCAAAAACCCAAGACATTGACAGATCAACAAAGACTAAATGAAGTCTTTTCATAAGGTGTTTTTCTCAATGGAGAAGCAACAAGTCAAAATTACACCAAACTCAATCATGTAACCTGATCTTCTTTTGGTAAGAAAATGAAAATTTATTAAAGAAAGAAAAAAAAAACGATTACAAAAAAAATGGACAATAGATCCTTCGGAAACAAATTTAAGCTAATAACATCCCAAGAGAAACAAGAAAACAGGCACAAGAAGCCTACAAGGCCAAACATAACCACACCCCTTAAATACCACTTTATACAATGTGAATTTGCTATTAAGCAATTCAAGCGAATAAAAGGTTAGGGAATTTTTGTTGAAAAGCCAAAGACTGTTTCATGAAATCAACTACACAAAGGTCCTACGAAAATAATCAGAGAAATTCATAGGTCTCACCAGATTAGGTTTTCGCAACAGAGGGAGAAAGAGAGTGGTGGTGGTCGATGGAGAGAAAGCGCTGAGAGAGGAAGAGAGAACCGTGAGAGAGAGAGAGAGAGAGAGAGAGAGAAGTCAGAGAGAGAGAGAGAGAGAAGTCAGAAGTGTTAGGGTTGATACATCTGCTTTTATATGGAGGGCACTTTGGTCATTTCACGTCCCCAAGTGATTATATTATAACACAATTTGTAGCCTGATCATTTCAGCACACTATTTCTGAAACCTGATTAAACCAGCTTATTTCCCAATTCCGTTCATGTACTAATGTTAGGATGTTTAATCTCTGTTTTGCGGTTGTGTTGAGTAGTCTAGCTTATCCAGTAGATAACTTGTCCCGATTTTGTGATGTTTTTTCTTCTTCTTATGAAACCATGTGTCTTATCAAAAGAAAAGGTTTTGATTATACTTATTGCTTATTTTGAACTGAGGAAGCCTACTTTTGACATAGGTGACATGGCACACAACTCGCATTCGTACTTCCATCCCAATTGGCATGCCGCCTCATCTTCTTTATACTGTTACCAGCTTGAAGCTTTTGTAGATATGTTAGGCTCTTGTAGTTCTGAGTGCTTGACAAATCGAAAGTCGCAATTAGATCTTTTAGTAAAAGTTGTGGAGGTATACTTTCTTACACTTTTTTTCCTTTCATTCTTTTACCTTATCACCATCATAACTTTTTAATGACGGAGAGGTTGGGGTAGGGAAGGGGAAAAAAACAGGGGAGAATTTAAAATATCAGAGAATCAAACTTGCAGATTAATTTCTGAAGAGTTAATGTATTTCATTTGTACCTAATTTTATTTTATTTTTCCAACAATTGGATTAGAAAAAGTTAGGTACTATGCTTTGGACGACTGTAAGATAGTTATTCTATTTGTTAGTATTTTCTAAATATAAAAATTAGTAGTAACAAAAACAATTTCGTACAGACTGTCATGTACATACATACCAAAAGGTTTAGTTGGACTGAAAAGATTGACATAGGAAATTTATTCACGTGGTATAAGGAACTGAATCATGAATGGAAATTGTGACCCAACGGAGGCAGAGAGAGGTGGCAGTTTGCCATACGTGTTTCATAGGTGTTGTGCAGTTGACAAGCGTTTGAGGTATATATATGCTTAAATTTGTCATCAATTTAACCAAAATACAATATTGTTCAAAGCAACCCCTCTTTTTAGTCCATCAAAGGGCATGTGTAAATTGATATATTTTTCCATCAAGATGAGCATAACCATTTTACTAATCACTGCTAAACCATACGAAAGCCGAAACAATGCAGGGGAAACAAGAAGGAATGAAAGAGAAGAAGAAGAGGAAATGCGATGCAAGACCTGCATTGTCCTAAAAATGCAGAAATGATGGGTCATTACCATTAAAGGTTATATACGTACCCACACCATTTATTAATTCCTTTAGAGGGAATTATTTCAAGCAACCTTTGCTTTTTTCATTGGATAATGTCAAAGCCAACGTGGAAAATCCTCTCACATGCTAGATCACGTGCCTGACAGGGGAGGTCAGCTGCCCGCATGCTGTCACACGTGTAAAGTGTGGGTATTCAAAAACGAACAATAGTAAAACATAATAAATAAAAAAGTTTATCCCAAAATAAATACATTTGAGCTCTTTCACGTGCGACCACCCAATCACATGGCAACTAGGACTTTTTTGTTTGTTTTTGGATGAAGAACTAGGACTTCTTTTAAATTTATTTATCGAGGGAAAGGTAAAAATTTTATTTAAATGACTATTAATTTTGTAAACTCTGTCCCCCCAAGAAAATAGTCACAGGCACAGCCACCCAACGGAAATATATAACAAAAAGCTTTTCATACGGGCTTACCTTTTGAAATTTGTTAAGAGCCGTAGATTCACAACGGCAGTCGAGTCTGGTGCACTTGAGGCCCGTTGAATTGTCGCTGTTGTCTATTCATCCCACAGCATCCAATTTGAATTAATTAATGGTAATGACGACCCATTCCCCAGGTGAGGGCAAAGAAAAGTTTAAAAAACTTGTCATCCCAGAGAAAGACATTTTTAAAAATTAATTTAAATTATCATCACTTGAACACTGACAAGACAGCCAACCAAACGGTACTTGTTAAATACATAATATATATTACAATCACAAAAGCTTTCATCCTGCCTTACCTGTATTTCCAAGTTGTGCGAGCTGAGAAAAGAATTGCTTCATCCAATTCCCTTGCAAAGAAAAGAAGAGAAAAATGGCTGGAGCTTTGATCGGAGAGGCCTTTATTTCTGCTTCCATCCAGGTGATTTGTGACAGAATTACTTCACCCGACTTCATCGACTTATTTCGGCACAAGAAACTCGATCAAACTCTCATCATGAAACTGAAGAGGACCCTGTTGACCTTGAACGCAGTGCTTGATGATGCTGAGGAGAAGCAAATTGAGAAACCAGCTGTGAGAGAGTGGCTTGAAGACCTCAAACATGCAGTCTTTGATGCTGAGGACTTGCTGGATGAGATCAACTATGAAGCTTTGCGATGCAAGCTAGAAGGTGAAGCTCAAACAGCGGACAAATTAACCAACAAGGTTCGGAACCTCCTCTCTACTTCTCGTAATAAGTTTTATCAAAGCATGAATGCTAAGATACAAGAGTTGTTGCAAAGATTAGAAGATTTTGTACAACTGAAAGGTGCTCTTGGTCTGAGAGAAGATGTTGGGAGAAAGGTTTCACAAAGAACTCCAACAACTTCCTTGGTTCATGAACCTTCCGTATATGGGAGAGATAAAACAAACAAAATTTATTACAAGTGTTATTCGATGATGCAAGCGAGGAAAATGTGTCTGTCATCCCCATTGTTGGAATGGGTGGGGTTGGCAAGACAACCCTTGCTCGAATGCTTTACAATGACAATAAGGTGAAAGAGCATTTTACCCTTAAGGCTTGGGCTTGTGTTTCAGAAGATTATGATGCTATCAGGGTAACTAAAACTCTTCTCGAGTCAGTGACTTCAAAACCTTGTAAAAAGACAGATCTGAATTTGCTTCAAGTTGAGCTAAGTGAAGAACTGAGGGGGAAGAAATTTTTGTTTGTATTGGATGACCTTTGGAATGAGAAATATACTGATTGGAACTACCTCCAATCTCCTTTTACTTCAGGGGCAAGGGGAAGTAAAGTCCTCGTAACAACACGGAACAAAATATAGCATCTTTCATGCAAAATGTTCCTATTCACACCTTGAAACCATTGTCGCATGAAGATGCTGGTTCCTACTTTCAAAACATGCAAATGTAAACCCTAGTTCAAATCCAAGCTTGGAAGAAATTGGCAAGAAAATTGCACGCAAGTGCAATGGGTTGCCTTTAGCTGCACAAACACTTGGTGGTGTGTTACGTTCGAAGCCAGACTCTGAGGTATGGAACAGAGTACTAAACAGCAGCATTTGGGAGAACAGTGACATTCTTCCCGCTCTAGGATTGAGTTATTATTATCTTCCAGCTAAGTTAAAGCGATGCTTTGTTTATTGTTCAATTTTCCCAAAAGACTATGAATTCAAGGTAGAAGATGTCGTTTTTCTTTGGATGGCGGAAGGTTTAATTCCGCAAGCGGAGAACATGGAAGAAGTGGCTAAGGAATATTTTGATGAACTGTTATCCCGATCATTGTTTCAAACGTCAGGGAAATCAAGTTTCGTCATGCATGATCTCATCAATGACTTCGCGGTGTTCTTGTCTAAAGGATTTTGCTGCAGGTGGGAAGGGAGGGAATCACATGAAGTAGAAAGAGTTCGCCATTTGTCTTATGCCAGGGAAAATTAGATGTTGCTGTTAAATTTGAGCCATTAAAAGGGGCTAAGTGTTTGCGTACCTTCCTGTCTATCTCTTTAAAACCATATTTTTTGTATCTTGACAGTTATGTAAGTAAAAAGGTTCTGCATAATTTGTTGGCATCACTAACATGTTTACGGGTGTTGTCGTTGTCCTGCTATGCGAATGTCACTGAGTTACCTGATTCCATTAAAAAGCTCATTCACTTGCGCTATTTGGATCTCTCCAATACTGCAATTGAAACGTTACCCAGTGTACTTTGCAGCCTCTACAATTTGCAGACATTATTATTGTCAAATTGTTCCCGTCTCGTTGAATTACCTGCAGACTTGAGAAAATTGATAAATTTACAGAAATTAATGTTGGGAGGTTGTTATTCTCTTACTAAATTGCCTGAAGACATGTGGGAATTAATTAATTTGCATCATCTTGACGTGAGTGGAACTAAAATTGCAGAGATGCCAATGCAAATGAGTACGTTGAAAAGCTTGAGAACATTGTCCGCTTTTATTGTGGGCAAATCTACTGGGTCGACTATTGGAGAATTGGGGGGAGCTTCCACATCTTGGAGGAAAACTTTCAATTTTGCAGCTACGAAATGTAGTTGATGCTAGGGATGCCTTGCAAGCAAATTTGAAGGATAAGAAAGATCTCAAAGAGTTAGAGTTGGGATGGGGGTTGGGATGGGAGTCGGGATGGGGTTATGAGGATGCGGATGATTCCCAAAAGGAGAAAGATGTACTCCAGCCTTGGGTGAATCTGGAGAAACTAACCATCAGTGGGTATGGTGGAAAAGATTTCCCGAATTGGCTAGGCGGCTCATCCTTGTCCAACATACAAGTCATGCATATTAGTGCTTGTAGTAATTGTTCGTCGCTGCCACCGGTTGGGCGGCTACCTACCCTCAAAGAGCTCTATATAGTAAGAATGAAACTTGTTAAGGCGATTGGTGTTGAGTTTTATGGCAGCACTGGATCTTCCGTAATTCAGCCATTTAAATCACTGGAGAAGCTGGAGTTTAGTTGGATGGAAGAGTGGGAGGAATGGGTACCAAGTGGAAGTGGAGGTGCAGACTTTCCTTGTCTCCAGGAGCTCATACTATGCGAGTGTCCGAAGCTGAGAGGAAGCTTGCCTTGTGATCTGCCTCGATTGAAGAAGCTTTGTGTGGAAGGGTGTGGGGTTTTACATGATCAAAGGGCCACTACTGCTACTAGTGTTAAAATGGATTATAAATCTCTTGAAGAATTGGGAATAGGAGGAGGATTATTTGAACAAATACTTGGCGGTGCGTTATCATTACTAGAGACAAAGCTCCTGTCCGAACTTGAGATTAGGAGTTTAAATGACATACAGTGCTTGCCCAACATCAATCGTCTTCAAAGTTTGAGACTACATAATTGTCCAATCCTGTCGTCGTTCCCTGAAGATGGGGTACCCACTATGTTGACATATCTTTGGATAAGCTCTTGTGGGAGATTAGAATTACCTCATGAGATGTTGGCCAAATTAACATCGCTCGGGCATTTGGCGATAGACAGTAGCTGTGATTCAATGAGGTCCTTCCCGTTGGGCATTTTTCCCAAATTGACGTCGCTTTTCCTTCGGGATTGTAAGAATCTGGAATCCCTTTCCTTGATTGAAGAAGGAGTTGATGAGAATCTCAGTCGTCTCATTATCGAAGACTGTCCAAATCTGGTGCGTTTTCCCCAGGGAGGATTGCCCACTCCCAACTTGACTCAATTGGATATTGAGGGATGCGACAAGTTGAAGTCATTACCTGAACGAATTCACACCCTCACAGCCCTTCGATATTTGGAAATAAAGAATCTTCCAAATCTGGAGTCAATTGCAGAAGATGGGGGTTTGCCTCCCAACCTCCGACATTTTAGCATTAAGAATTGTGAGAGACTGAGGGCTCCATCTTCATCAGTGGGAGACTACTGTAATTGGGGTTTGCAATCCCTTGAAAGATTTAAAATTGATGGCAGGGGAAGTGACGAAATCTTGGAGACGTTGCTCAAGCAACAGCTGCTCCCTACCACTCTTCAACGCCTCGAGATCAGTGACCTTTCAAGTCTGAAATCTTTGGACGCAAAGGGAATTAAACACCTCACTTCTCTTTCTTTTCTGAGCATCTCTTATTGTTCTGCCCTGGAAAAAAGGTATAAGAAGAAGACAGGAAAAGCTTGGGCCGACATATCTCACATTCCATGCATCAAGATAGGCGAAGAAGTGATCATATGATATGAGCTCTCTCTCTCTCTGACACACATTCCTTGCATCCGAGGTTTCACTCCCAACTCTCAAATCAAACTCAGGTATGTACTTCAAATAACTGGCTTAACTGGTTTTCTTCCAATTGAATCCAAATACCAAAATACATATTATTTTTTTGATAAAAAACCCAAATACATATTATTTTTTTGATAAAAAAACCCAAATACATGTAACATATTGGATTTCCCAAATTCATGTCCCCAAATAAACCGAGATGCATTTTTATGCCCCCAAGTTCATTGTGTCAATTACATTTGGCACTGCTGTTTACTGGTCTCTTGTTATTTTCCGATTAAAATCATTTTCCAGAAAAAACAATTTGTGCTCAACAAAAACTTTCAATCTGATTTCTGTTATTATTTTTCAATCTGATTTCTTTTGCAGGACAGCATACCTTCTCGTAGAGAGCTTTTCATTTGCAAGGTTTCTTTGCATGCCATTTCCAGATGAGGGGTTTGCCGTTGTATATAGCCTTACAATTGTCACAACGAGGAGAAACAGAGAGGCTCGCCTGGAATATCTCAATTTGACGCATTTCTGCATACAGGCATCGAATGTACAACATTTTTAGGTACTTTCTCATAAGCTTAAGTTGAGTCTCATTCGAGCTAGTTTAAATTGTATTTGATGCCTAAAGATAACCTGTGAGCTTCAGTTGTTTGATCAAGTTATCTATATCCTTTTCTCTGTTTTTAGATTTCATTCATGTTGTGATTGGAGTGCTGCTGTTTTTTAAATTCATTCATGTAATGTTAGGATGTTTAATCTCTGGTTTGCACTTTCTCATCTTCTTCATTCTGTTAGGATGTTTAGTCTGATCACAAAAATTGGTTCACAAATGGAAAGTCACGATTAGATCTATTAGCAGAAGATCTGGAGGGGTACGTTCTAATATTTCTTTTCCTTCCATTCTTTTGCCTCCCTCACCATCATAACTTTTTAATGACAGAGAGGTTGGGTGGGGAAGGGGGAGGCAACAAGAGAAATTTGGAATCTCTCACAATTAAACGTGCAGATTAATTGCTAAATAGTCGACGTATTTCTGGTGCCAAATTTATTTTATTCCAACATCTAGGAATTGGATACGTTTTGCTCTTATAGTTCTGAAAACTTTACAATTGGTGGCAGGGGAAGTGACAATATCTTGGAGACGTTGCTCCCTACCACTCTTCACACTCAGCGCATCAACCAAATTACAAGTCCGAAATCTTTGGAGAGAAAGGGACACCTCACTTCTCTTCAACACCTACGAATGGAAAGCTGTCCTAGTCTCGAATTTCTGCAACTTCAACACCTCACTTCTCTTCAAAGGCTATATATTAGTTGGGGTGACAATCTCCAATTCATGCCAAAAGAGGGTTTGCAGCCATCTCTTTCTTTACTGCAGATCTACAAATGTTCTGGCCTGGAGAAAAGGTATGAGAATAAGATGGGAAAAGATTGGGCTAACATATCTCAAATTCCTTGCATCCAGAGAAATGATCCAAGTTTTTTTTTGTTTTGAAAACCCAGAACACTACTTTGTCAACTTTGTTGGCTCAGCTTCCAACTGGGGCCCACCGCCATCACTCTCTCTCTCTCACATCCCCTGTATCCAGTGTTTCACTCTCAACTCTCAAATCAAACTCAGGTATGTTCTTCAAATAACTGGCTTAACTGGTTTTTATTCTAATTGAATCCAAAAACCAAAATACATATTCTTTCTCTGTTAAAAAACTGAAATACATATTTGATTGCTCAAATTCAGTGTCCAAATAAACCAAGTTACATATTTGTTACTATTTGTATGTCCCCAAGTTCATTGTATTATCTTATTACATATCAGAGAATAACCAAGTCTTTATGGAAAGGGGTCTGCCAGCAATTTTGCATCCCATGAACTTTTACAGTTGCCAAAAAAATCATAGCATTTATCTTTTATTACTAATTGTACCTAAGCTCGCGTTCTCATATTGGTTAAATAGTTTCACGCATCTGATCAAAATCAATTTGTGCTCAACACAAAACAATCCGATTTCTATTATTATTTATTATTTTGCTCAGTAAAATTTCGTTCTATTTACTTTATTTCTCATTGGGGTTGTTTTGTTCTGCTGATCACAAATTATATCCTATTTAAGTCTCAAAAGCTGAATAATTAGTAGTCTTTTTGCAGGACAGCATACCATGGAGAGCTTTACATTTGCAAGGTTTCTTTACGTGGCATTCCCAGAGCAGGGTTCACCATTGTATATGGCCTTTTGTTTTTCTGCAAAAACAATTGTCACAGCAAGGAGAAACAGAAAGGCCCACCTGGAATATCTCAATTTGACGCATTTCTGCAAACAGGCATCGAATGTACATCATTTTAGGTACTCTTTCATAACCTGTGAACTTAAGTTGTAAGATAAAAGTGGCACTACATGATTATACTTATTGCTTATTTTGAACTGAAGAAGCCTACTTTTGACATAGGTGACATGGCAGAAAACTCACATTCGTACTTCCGTCCCAATTGGCATGCCGCCTCATCTTCTTTATACTGTTACCAGCTTGAAGCTTTTGTAGATATGTTAGGCTCTTGTAGTTCTGAGTGCTTGACAAATTGAAAGTTCCAATTAGATCTTTTAGCAGAAGTTGTGGAGGTACACTTTCCTACACTTTTTTCCTTTCATTCTTTTACCTTATCACCATCATAACTTTTTAATGACAGAGAGGTTGGGGTGGGGAAGGGGAAACAACAAGAGAGAATTTAAAATATCAGAGAATCAAACTTGCAGATTAATTTCTGTAGAGTTAATGTATTTCATTGTACCTAATTTTATTTTATTTTTCCAACAATTGGATTTAAAAAGTTAGGTACTATGCTTTGGACGTTTGTAAGATAGTTATTCTATTTGTTAGTATTTTCTAAATATAAAAATCAGTAGTAACAAAAACAATTTCGTACCAGCGGTTATTGTATTACAGACTAAACATCAGTAGTACAGACTGTCATGTACATACATACCAAAATGTTTTGTTAGACTGAAAAGATTGGCATAGGAAATTTATTCACGTGGCATAAGGAACCGAGTCATGAATGGAAATTGTGATCCAAAGCATATTGGTTACTTTTATAAGACTCTTTAGATTAATAGTAGTGGCATATCAGCTGAGGCCTTTATGACTGTATTCTTAAATTGATTATTCTCTTATTGTTTTTATACTGTTAAAAGGAGTTAGCCGCACAGAATGAAAAACTACAAATGCCATCTTCTTTCATACCATTTTTCAAAAGTCCATTCATCCCATTCTTCTTCAACAACGCAGGAAGTTATACTAGTCGCATGGTTCAATGGAGGTGACTTTCCTTTGCCCTATCTCCCTGGTCCAGCTGCTGCTTTACCTAGCTTTATATATAGATAAATTCTTTCCTTTGCCACAAATCATTCCTTCAGCTGCAAAGTTCTATTTGATGAGACTTGAAATGTTGGATGTGTACTTGCAGACTCGAGAAACTTTCTCATGTTTGGAGGTCAAGGCAACTCATGTAGGCAACCATGCATGATTTCAGAGTCGAAGCTGATGCTGTAATCATAAATTTCACCTTAGCTGCTTCACTGTAAATGCCTTTCTGTGCTCGCTTCTTCTGTAAGGGGCTATCAGATTAGTTTGTCAGCAAGATTTAATATGGTTCACTTTTTTGTTGCTTTCCTATTACCATAACCAAATTGGTTTTGTAGGATCAAACGAAGCAGTTTCATACATTGCATGCATTGTTTCATCAGCATTTCAGACGGAAAATGAGCCTTGAATTGTCTTCTAAGCCAATGGATTTTTCTAGAATCTGAAGTGCAATGGAAAATTACTGAATTGATCTACACAAAGAGTAAACATTTTTTCTGTTGGATGCTGGAAGTGCCTCTTATAAGTGGCTAAGTTGCGATATGTGGTGCCATCAAATACTCTGCAAAGGGGTAAGTCATCTAGTAACTTACGCTTTATTTGATGGGTATGTTATCTCGGTGCTTGTAATCTACATATGGAGTCGTCACTGACAGGTCCGTCACATTACATCAGTCATATATGGGATATGAATCATACACTTTGTGCTTTTGAACTCTCAAATGAAGAGAGATTTTTTGTTTGTGGATTAATATTGTCATATCCCTCGTTATTTATTGTATTTGAACACCCAATTGAGATGGATTGTTGTGTCTGTGTTATTTATTGTCATGTCCTTTCTCCTTTGCTTCATTTCTGGTGGTTGCTTACTTAAATCTGTCCTTCAGCAGTTCAAGTTGACACCGGAGTTGAACAAGGATTAGGTCAGCTGTATATTTCGCGGTAAACACCTCTTTCTATACATATTTGTAACTGTCTACATAGATTAATTTATCAGCATGATTTTATGGTGCATTTAGAACCTAAACATAAAAAATAAATTCCTGTTGTCAATAATTTGTTGATTCGAATTTGGACTTCTAGGAACAGATCAAGCATAGTCATACATGGCATGGGTCACTTTCATCATCATTTCAGACGTAAAATCAGCCTTCAACTGTCTACTGAGTCAATAGACCTTTCTAGGTATCTCAAGTGCAATGGAAAATTCATGACTGACTTAAAGATTCGCAAAGAGTTTTCTCTTTGAAATGTGAACTGCAGAGAGGTAAGAAAGTCACTGTCAAGTAAATTTATACTTTCAATTTATATGCTTCTTATATATAATTATAAGTTTATCTACACCGCAGGGCTAACCTGTTGATGAATTAATATGGTGCTAACTATCGTTTAGAGTCTAAACCCAGTCAACACCCTGGTCCCATGATCCAAAATTGGAAACTAGGTAGTCATCTAACGTTGATCAAATGAAGAAGAACACAGTATATTTTCGATAAATAATGAAAAAAAATACACATCTACCCTTTCACAGTTCCACATTAACTCTTAAAAATGGCTGCATCTTAGAACAATGACACTGAATCTGTATAGCTCATCTTCAATCTAAAGATTAAACGCAACATGAGTGTTCTTTCGTCCTCTGTTGTTTATTTGATTATCTTTTGACTTTTGGAGGTGTTTTCAAATTTGAGAATACAGTAAACGCAGTGTACATATATTGAAAATATTCCACATGATTTTCAACAATAATATTTTCTTTTCAGATTTGCTGATGATTCCAACACTTGCAGAGATATAGGGTGAAGGAATCAGAGCTGACCGTGAGGGCAGCTGATGCGCAATGTTATTGCAACGGCAACATGGTCCGAAGTGGCAATTTCATTCAGAAGCAAAGCTCTAGTAAGGAAATTGGTCGAGGTTGGGGCAGGGATGATTGACGGTGAAATGGGTGTTAATTTTTCTCACAGCCCATTCTCAAAGTTTTTATTTGCAAATGTAAGAGATTGGAGTATTTTTATTGAAAGGAGATGACATGTTCCCTAGAATAGCCAATCTAAGTTCCTCCATTTTTTTTTTTTTTTTTTTTTTTTTTTTATTTAATTTTAAGCAATCTGTGGTCTTAGATTGATCTGGTGGTGCAAATCAGTCCTAAGTTTCTTTTCCAAAATGTCATCAATCGGAACCTTGTAATTGAGAGCAATATGCTAAATGTTGTTGGATTGGATCTATCCTCTTCATTGTAAACCTAATGTCTACGAGGCCTTCAAGGTGTTTATGCCTAACGTTGAGAATTTGTAATATGAGTTATTTACACCAACACCCCCTAAGGTTTTCGGTGTTTTCACAAAACCCCCTAAGGTTTTAAAAATTACATGAATACAGGTTTTAAATTGTTTTCACAAAACCCCTTTTCGTTCAAAGATTAATGATTTTATATGAAAATTTTCTCCAAATGACAAAGTTAGCCTTTGAGATTAGCTTGCACATACACTTATTGAGGTTAATTTTGTCATTTGCATAAGTTTTTTTAATATGAAATCATCAATTTTTGGAAGAACAATCAATGAAAAGGGTTTTTGTGAAAATAATTTAAAACATTAGGGGGTGTTCATGTAATATTTGAAACGTAAGGGGTTTTTTGAAAACACCGAAAACCTCAGGGGGTGTTAGTGTAAATAACTTTGTTATATTCTAAGATCGAAGGTTTTTGGATTTGTATTTACTTTAACCATGTGAATGACATATGATGTTGTTAGGGGTATATTGGACTTTTAGTGAGGGGAGAGAAGGCGCCAAGGATTCATCCTCAATCAAGAAAACATGTTTGCCACCACACCGCATTGCGAACCCACCTGAGATCTCTACCTTTCAGTGTTCTCCCCACGCCTTCAAAACACGCGAGCATTGGCGAGTGGGCTAAACTCCTAGCCATAATGGTGGCAACATCCCACCTTCTCCAACATTGTCATTGTGGAAGTGATTTTCGTCCCACAAGAATATTCGTCTAAGATTCCGTCTTCCTCTTCGCTTCTCTTTCTCCCTACAAAACAATACAGAGTAAAAGACCATACCCGGGGGGTGTTGGCCAAAAGCCCTCTAATGCCTAAGTTAGTTCAAGTGTTTGTAGGAAAACAATAGCTAACAAAAGGATGAAGATTTCTCTAGGGTGAGAACCGAGTGGCCGGAACCGTGTGTGTGAGAGAGAAAGAGTTATGACGGTTAGGGTTTGTGAGATAGAATTTCTGCAGAGTTTCAAATTGAAGTTTAGACGTACATCAACCCTTAGTGTAGCCATGTATTTATAGGAGCCTCGGAGGCTAGGGTTTTGGAAGAATAATTCCATAGATAGAAATGAATTATTCTTCCCCAATTTGGAGAGATTGACGCAATTAGGGTAAGAATCAAATAATTCCCAAATTGATTGGCTTAATTATTTGACCTAGGATTCGTAGATATTTTGCTTCCACAGTCATCATGGTCATCGTCCACTGTGTCTAATTCGCGGTGATTCCTCATCGCATTGGCCAACACCGTGATATTCCTCGGCATCAACTGGTGGTACTTCATAGAGGACAAAGGTAGGTGGTTTAGGGCTTAGGGTTGAGGAGCTAGAAATGACGTTTTTAGCCCTCATTTAGACGACCAAATTGACGAATTATAACGGTAGGACCTAATTGGATTGGAACTACCTGTTGAGTTCACTGATGTAACTGCCTAAAAAAAAATTCAGAACTCAATTAAAACTTGAGGTAAAGTTCACTCTATTTTAGCCTTGTGACTAAAATTTACATTTTTTTAAAAAGGAGTTGGGTGTAAATATTAAGCTGGGTTAACTTAGGAGAAAGTTGGGTATGCGTATCAAAACGAAAGCCGAAATTAACCAGAAATCAGCCGCTCTGTTTTTGGTCTCCGCGCCGCAGTTCATTCTCAGCTTCTTCTACTTCTTCTCTGGAGCTCTTTGCAACAAGAGTAACATTCCAAAATCAACTTACCTCAGGCCTCAGGTTTCAACTAGGGTTTTTCGATTTTCCAATAGAAATTGATTATCATCGACTTCTAAACATGGCATTGCTCTTCAAGTTGAAGAGCCTCAGATTGGGTTATTCAATACTTTCTTCTACATTTGCTTCAAAAACTAAAAGGTTTGTTGTTGGAGATCGAAAACCCTCAAAATTTTCTCTTCAAAATCAGTTACTCTGCCGACACTTCACCTCAGAAATGTCGGCAAACCAACACAATTTCACAGTCACTTACCTCATGAACTCATGCGGGTTGTCTCCAAAAGCTGCAATTTCAGCATCCAAGAAGGTCGAGTTGCAAACCCCAGAAAGAGCAGACTCCGTCTTGGCCCTTGTGAGAAACCATGGACTCTCTGAAGCCCAGCTCTCAAAGTTTGTCAGGTTACACCCAGAAGTTCTTTTAGCCGATCCTGAGCAAACCCTTTTGCCAAAGCTTCGGTTTTTCATCTCTCTCGGGGTTTCAAAGGAGGACCTTGCGAAAACTCTGGCTTTCTGTCCGCAGATTTTGTCAAGAAACTTGGAAAAAGAGATTTTACCCGATTATAATTTCCTTAGGAGCTTGATTCCTGAGAAAAAGGTTGTTTCTGTTTTGAAGAACAGCTCTTGGTTTTTCTTCGAAGGCCACTCCAAAAATGTGGTGCCAAATATTGGTCTTTTGAGACAACTAGGTATGCCCCAATCATGCATTTATCTGTTGCTGGCTCATTATATTAATGTTCTGATGGTAAAGCATGAAAGGTTTGGTGTAGTTGTGGGTAAGGTCAAGGAAATGGGATTTAATCTGGAAAAAGCCACTTCCGTGTCTGCTCTACGTGTATTGTGTGGTAGGCACAAGTCAGTATGGAATCGAAGTTGGGAGCTTTATAGGAGTTGGGGTTGGTCTGACGACGATATTCTTTCTGCTTTCAGGCGGTATCCGCAGTGTATGATTCACTCGGAGAAGAAGGTAATGGAAGTAATGGATCTTTTAGTGAACAACATGGGATGGCCGTCAAGAAAGATTGCCCAATATCCTGTGGTCCTAAGTTTGAGTTTAAAGAGGAGACTGATCCCAAGGTGTTCGGTTGTTAAGGTTTTGTTTTTGAAAGGAGTTATAGATGAAAACTTGCATTTGGGTTCTGTGTTGCTGCCTGTGGAGAAGCACTTCCTGGAGAAGTTTGTAACTGCATATCTCAAGGAAATACCTCAATTGTTGAATGTGTATCAAGGGAAAGTTGAATTCCAGGATGTATGATTTTTTAACAGTTTTTAACACCTTGATGCTGCAGTGTTTTGCTTGGAAAATTGTTTTTGGTACAATACACGTGTCTTGCCTCTGTTGGGGTCCAATTTAAACTTCTCTGCAGGTGAGTGAAAAGGAAAATTTTTTGTCTATTCAAGTTAGAAGTCAATGCAAAAATCTGAGAAATATTTATTCATTTAACAGTACCAAGAAGTACAATTCAGTGACTTCAAAGCCTGCAATCAAAATGTGCACGTAATGACTAGCTTGCCGGGATCCCTGGAGCAAGGCATGTTCGGTGCTTACATCAGTATACATGTCACCATTTACAGGGGGCCAACTGGATTTCCCAACACAACAGCACCATCAGTTTTAACACCTTTCCTTAAACATGTCACCATTTACAGGGGGCCAACTGGATCACATTGATGATTACTATTGGAAATTGGGGACAAGTGGTGAAAACGACAGAAACTGTTGATGCAAATGATTATGTTAATTGATATTATTTTTCCTATTTGAATCTCACCTTTAATTCCACTGATATGTATACCTCTTTACTTATTTAAAACTTAACTTAACATGCATGCCATTGAGTGCTGCAGACAATTGATCCCCTTCATGCTTCTCTCTTGAGATCAGAAAATCTCCAGAGGACAATTGCCAGCTGACTCGTTATTGTTCCAATAAGCTGGATCTTTTGTCCCCAGAGGAAGTCTAAACTTTTTACTGGAACTGGCAGGAAAATGAAAATTTAAAACATTCTGTTCACTCTGCTCATTCTATGCATGCTGTGAATTTTCAATAGTTACAGTCTTACAACGGTTGATAAATAAACAACTATGCAAATTCAGTATTTAGGTTAAGGAGATTGTGATGCTTTGCAGCTTTGAATTGAAGCTGTGAATGAAATGGAATGGCATTTGGTAGGCATTCATGCTGTGAATGAACCTCTCCTTTTAATTGTTATTATATCTGCTGCATTGCCTTCTCGAGAAAATGTGAGACTGAGGATTGAGGTATATTATTGTACAAGCATTATCAAGCTAACCACCTGAAAATGGGAACTAGAAATGTATGTTTTCTGGTATTGCTGCTTTGACTCAGTGGGGCATTGAGGGTACAATCCATGTTTGATCTGTTAGTCTGATTCCTCAATCTATCAACTATTATTTGGTTATAAACAAATGTTACTAACTTACTACAGTACACCTTTTGCTGCAGACAAGCTACTTTATAGATGGTTGAGAAAATATGACAGCAAATATGGAAAGGTGAGAGGTTAATGATGCACGTTACAGAATTCATCTTTTAGTTTTCTGATACTATGGTTTCCAAACTGTTCTGTTTTCTCATAGAAAATTCTCCTCATTTGTTATCGAAATGCTGGTGCATAATCTCTGCATATAAATATTTATTGATCAGTCTACATTTTGTCATTCAGATTGTGGATTCTCTGCACCTCAATTTAATTTGCAAATTACTGTTCTCATCAGGAAATGTTACATGCATTGTGAGCCTCTTCATCATGGAAAATGCATTCGGAGAATTTGCTCTAGGGTTTGAATTGCCTTTCATAATCTGGAAAATGTTAATAAGCTGAAATTATAAGGTGGAGAAGAAGAAGGTGAAATCCATCAATAGGCATAAACGAGTGGAGTGGGTTCCTATCAATTAGGTCGATTCTCTCCCTTTTTCTCTGTTTACTTCATTTTCTCTTCTTTCTTGCAATTCAATTCTCTACTGTTTGCTTCATTTAAATAAACTCTAGTAGGTCATTTAAACATGATCCAAGTCAGAATCGAATAGGTCATCTAAACGTAATCCAGGTCTCAAATAGAACAATTTTACTGTCAAATATTGTTTTCTGGTGGCAAAAATATCATTTTTTTGTTCTTTTATGGATTGGGGGAACGTGGATCCCTTTGGTTCAAAGAAAATGGATTTGTGGGAAATCAATTCCAATGTCTTTTATGAGGGGATGGAATGGAAACTAGAAGTCTTTTTCCATCTTTTATACTGCTAAATTAACTTGAAAATATCATTTTAGTTTATTTTCCTATGTTTGATTTATGCAGAAATTAAAAACAAAAATACGCTTAATTTTTCAATTCTACCCTTACATTAGAAGCATGCAAGGAAAATGTAATGAAGTAGATATGGGCTTAGCGAAGTTTGCTAGAGAGGATGTGATGCTCACTAAGCACTTGAGTTCGAATCTCCCTCCCTATAATTTAGATTAATTTAAAGTAAAATATCGTTTGTTTAAAAAAAATGTAATTAATGTTTATTTGGATAGAATTGGCGTTAACAAGGCAAATTGGTCATAGAAAAATGTAACTTTATGCTCGCCATGACTTTTCACGGGAATGGCAAATGAAACCCAATTTGGAAACTGTTTTCGTTTTCCTTAGTCCAAAAAATGAAGGGATATTCATTGAAATGTCACCTGAATTTATACCTTAGTTTCAATTTGTCACCTGAAAAAAAAATTAAGTGAAATGTCACTTGAATTTTTCAAAATCCATGATTTGTCACCTCATTTTAACATCATCCAATTTTCCAACTATTTTCAAGGGTATTTTAGTCTTTTTATTTTCAAGAGTATTTTAAAAATGGAAAAATCATAATAAAAAAATTATGAAAAGACCCTTGAAAATTATAAAAATTATATATCTTTTCACATTTAATCCCCAACTATTTTTACATTTAAGCATTATTTTTTTAATAATAATTTTTTCCATTTTTAAAATATCCTTGAAAATGAAAAGATTAAAATACCCTTGAAAATAGATGATGTTAAACTCAGGTGACAAATCATGGATTTTGAAAAATTCAGGTGACATTTCACTTAAATTATTTTTTCAGGTGACAAATTAAAACTAAGGTATAAGTTCAGGTGACATGTCAACAAATATCCCAAAAATGAAATAAAAATAAGAGCACAATCCTCTTTTATGAGTGTTTTTTTTATTTCTATTTCTTCCAATCTTGGTTTAAAGACATGTAGTTAATGTTTATTTCTTACAAATGAATGAAGTTATGAATTGAGGAATTTAGATAGGGTAATTAAGCCATTGGAATTAGATCAACTACTCCTCCGAGTTGATTCCTTTCCTAATTTTAGTGTATAGGGTTTTAAGGTTTAGGAAAATCTATGAATAGAAATATTTAGATAGTATAATCGAGGAATTGGAAATAAATACATCAACACATTGGTCTCATTCAACTTTTTGTAATTTTTTAGGACATTTCTTATTGAGAGGGATGATAATATACTAAACTCACACACATTACATGGATGTTAGGACTCAAACCTAGGATCTTGCCTGGTGGAGCATTTACTCCAAACCACTATACTAGTGGATCTCATTCTACTTTTTACCACCTTGCACCCTTGTTTAATTAAGAGTGCTGCTATTTCCACTCTTGTCTTATTTCCTCATCCACTTTATTTTCCCACCTACCATGAAATATTGAAAAAAAAATACAATTTTATATTTCCACCCACCATTATTCCTAAAATACCCTTTAATTATTAATTCCAGCAAATTCTCTTTGCTAATCATTAATAGTTGATATATGGAGAAGATCAAGTTGTATTTGACGGATTGCATAAATGTTTTAATATAATATTTCGATTTTCTAGATCTTTTAGTTTTTTATTCTCTGCCTTGTTGTAGCTTATGAAAAGATTCTCCATAACTGTTTTCCTTAAGTTTTTAGAAGTCATTTTACAAAATGGTAAATTTGTTTTTAAAATTTTAAAGATAAGGTGGGTGAGAAATAGAACAATTGTGGAAATTAGGGGTGGGCATGGAGATCGGAAAATAGGAACATCGAATCGGACTGGATGGAAAATATAGGAAAAAAAATTGATTGACTAAAAAAGTCAACAAATCGATATCAAACTGAACCAGACTGGTTTTGGTTTCAATTTCACACCTTACCAAATCAAACTGCACCGAACTGGACCGGTTGTGTATTATATTTATTTAAATCCAATGCTACATTTTTAATCTCATAACTAATATTTCCTCAAGTCAAACTTCAAAACATCTCTCTTTTCTAGGCCCAATATCTCTCTTTGTATGAAATTGAATCATTTGTTAATTTTCAAGCCCAAAAAACTAAAATTTTAGTTGGAATTTATAATAAAAAAATTAATTTGAAAAAATGAAATAATTATCTGGTTCAAAATAAAAAAAACTGAAAACCAAATCAAAATCGATTCAAACCAGATTGGCTAGTTTCCTAATTTTTTTTTTCACTAAAACCAGATTGAACCAGATTGATTAAAAATACCAATTTTAATTTCAATTTGAGGAAACTAAATCGAACCAGCCCACACCCACCTTAGAGCACTTTCACCGACAAGCCTTTGCCCGGGAAGGAGGGGGACCAAGCCCTAGTTTGACATTCAAACGAGCTTCTACAGACCGGGCAGCACGTGGGTCTCAGCAAACTGGGCCAGCCCAAAGGTAGAACGAGCCGGTGCACTGTTTTGCGGTTGTGTTGAGTAGTCTAGCCTATCCAGTAGATAACTTGTCCCCTATTTTGTGATGTTTTTTCTTCTTCTTATGAAACCATGTGTCTTATCAAAAAGAAAAGGTTTTGATTGATACTTATTGCTTATTTTGAACTGAAGAAGCCTACTTTTGACATAGGTGACATGGCACAAAACTCGCATTCGTACTTCCGTCCCAATTGGCATGCCGCCTCATCTTCTTTATACTGTTACCAGCTTGAAGCTTTTGTAGATATGTTAGGCTCTTGTAGTTCTGAGTGCTTGACAAATCGAAAGTCGCAATTAGATCTTTTAGCAGAAGTTTTGGAGGTATACTTTCTTACACTTTTTTCCTTTCATTTTTTTACCTTATCACCATCATAACTTTTTAATGACAGAGAGGTTGGGGTGGGGAAGGAACTGAATCATGAATGGAAATTGTGACCCAACGGAGGCAGAGAGAGGTGGCAGTTTGCCATACGTGTTTGATAGGTGTTGTGCAGTTGACAAGCGTTTGAGGTATATATATTCTGGGCATTAAATTCTGTTGGCTAACTTTGATTTTAACGTACACTTTGCCTTCAATTTATTTGATTCCTGCAGGAAAAGCTTTTGCTTATATGATCACTTTGATTTGCTGAAGGTCTTGATTACATAACCATTTGTGTTTATATATATTTAATTGGTCTATTGGTATCAATATTCAATTTCTAAAATGACCAACGTCTCTTTGGGGGTCAGCAACTTCTATATATAGCTTTGGCTATTTTGGCTGAACATATGATTTAATTCGAGCATTTTTTCTCTCAATTTCAGTCCTCCCACATTATTTCCTTTCCTCACAATTTTCATACAGTTTTGTATTGTGTTCATTTTATTTTACTTCCCAAGGAAAAGATTCAAGTGTTCATCCGATCTAAGTATTGTGAGTGTACGTTTACAAATGATCAAAAGTTGTTGTATCCTGGAAGGTAGGACGTCATAACCTGCTATATCGAGATATTATCTCAGAGGGGCGGATCTACTCTTAAAAACAGTAACTTACGTGCCTCAATTTATTGTTCGTGATCAAAGGAGAGCATCCACTACTTTGGAATATTACTTCATCCAAATCCCTTGCAAAGAAAAGAAGAGAAAAATAGCTGGAGCTTTGATCGGAGAGGCTTTTATTTCTGCTTCCATCTGACAACTTTCAAATGCATTTACTAAACTAATATGACAATACTTCAAGCATCTTTTGATATTTTCACCCCATGCATCATGTTTATTACTCTATTCTTATATTATCATACATTAGCCACTGCATCATATCTGATTTAATACCCCACCACCATCATTTATGCTATTCGCTAGAAAAAAAAGGCTGTGGACCAGTGTCGTCTAATATGCTATATAGGTGATCGCTGTTTATTGTGATTCTTTCGACGACGGTGATTTATCGTTATCTGTTAATCACTTAGACAACGATTTTATAAGATCACCGTGTCTATTATCAATTCATACGATAGTGGATCACCATCATTTATTTGTTCTTTTTTTTCTGTCGAAAATCTTTTGAAAGCCCTCAAATAGGCCTTTTCTTTTAGACCGGATCTCTCATTGTCTTGTCAGTTTAGACGACAATATAATTTCGTTACTGTCGTCTAAGTGGTGATATTTTGTAATGGTATTTGTAGGTGTATTTTTCTTCTTCTTCTTTTTTTTTTTTTTTTTTTTTTTTTTTTTTTTTTTTGTGGGTGGGTTGTTCTTTCATTGCAATTAATTAATTTTTCATTCTATTTATTTAAGCTAAACAGATGCTTAAATTTTTGTTATCAATTTAACCAAAATACAAAAGAATTCTCTCTAAGTACCCATAAAACTCACTTCCAAGGCCTATGTATAGCCCCCTAGAAATTCTTCTCCTTCACCACACATTTCATCAATCTCCTTTTGCGTGTAACTTTGATCAATTGTCTTTTCCCACTGAAACATAATAAATAAATAGGAAAAATTAGTCAATAAGTTCAACATTATGGTAATATATTTCTCAAGTCCTTCATATGACTCATTAAAAACTTAACAATATTGTTCAAAGCAACCCCTCTTTTTAGTCCATCAAAGGGCATGTGTAAATTGATATATTTTTCCATCAAGATGAGCATAACCATTTTACTAATCACTGCTAAACCATACGAAAGCCGAAATAATGCAGGGGAAACAAGAAGGAACGAAAGAGAAGAAGAAGAGGAAATGCGATGCAAGACCTGCATTGGCCTAAAAATGCAGAAATGATGGGTCATTACCATTAAAGGTTATATACGTACCCACACCATTTATTAATTCCTTTAGAGGGAATTATTTCAAGCAACCTTTGCTTTTTTCATTGCATAATGTCAAAGCCAACGTGGAAAATCCTCTCACATGCTAGATCACGTGCCTGACAGGGGAGGTCAGCTGCCCGCATGCTGTCACACGTGTAAAGTGTGGGTATTCAAAAAACGAACAATAGTAAAACATAATAAATAAATAAGTTTATCCCAAAATAAATACATTTGAGCTCTTTCACGTGCGACCACCCAATCACATGGCAACTAGGACTTTTTTGTTTGTTTTTCGATGAAGAACTAGGACTTCTTTTAAATTTATTTATCGAGGGAAAGGAAAAAAATTTATTTAAATGACTATTAATTTTGTAAACTCTGTCCCACCAAGAAAATAGTCACAGGCACAGCCACCGAACGGAAAATATATAACAAAAAGCTTTTCATACGGGCTTACCTTTTGAAATTTGTTAAGAGCCGTAGATTCACAAAGAGATCAACGGCATTCGAGTCTGGTGCACTTGAGGACCGTTGAATTGTCGCTGTTGTCTAGTCATCCCACAGCATCCAATTTGAATTAATTAATGGTAATGACGACCCATTCCCCAGGTGAGGGCAAAGAAAAGTTTAAAAAACTTGTCATCCCAGAGAAAGACATTTTTAAAAATTAATTTAAATTATCATCACTTGAACACTGACAAGACAGCCAACCAAACGGTACTTGTTAAATACATAATATATAATTACAATCACAAAAGCTTTCATCCTGCCTTACCTGTATTTCCAAGTTGTGCGAGCTGAGAAAAGAATTGCTTCATCCAATTCCCTTGCAAAGAAAAGAAGAGAAAAATGGCTGGAGCTTTGATCGGAGAGGCCTTTATTTCTGCTTCCATCCAGGTGATTTGTGACAGAATTACTTCACCCGACTTCATCGACTTATTTCGGCACAAGAAACTCGATCAACCTCTCATCATGAAACTGAAGAGGACCCTGTTGACCTTGATCGCAGTGCTCGATGATGCAGAGGAGAAGCAAATTGAGAAACCAGCTGTGAGAGAGTGGCTTGACGACCTCAAACATGCAGTCTTTGATGCTGAGGACTTGCTGGATGAGATCAACTATGAAGCTTTGCGATGCAAACTGGAAGGTGAAGCTCAAACAGCCAACAAATTAACCAACAAGGTGTGGAACTTCCTCCCTACTTCTCGTAATAAGTTTTATCAAAGCATGAATGTTAAGATACAAGAGTTGTTGCAAAGATTAGAAGATTTTGTACAACTGAAAGGTGCTCTTGGTCTGAGAGAAGATGTTGGGAGAAAGGTTTCACAAAGAACTCCAACAACTTCCTTGGTTCATGAACCTTCCGTATATGGGAGAGATAAAAACAAACAAAATTTATTACAAGTGTTATTCGATGATGCAAGCGAGGAAAATGTGTCTGTCATCCCCATTGTTGGAATGGGTGGGATGGCAAGACAACCCTTGCTCGAATGCTTTACAATGACAATAAGGTGAAAGAGCATTTTACCCTTAAGGCTTGGGCTTGTGTTTCAGAAGATTATGATGCTATCAGGGTAACTAAAACTCTTCTCGAGTCAGTGACTTCAAAACCTTGTAAAAAGACAGATCTGAATTTGCTTCAAGTTGAGCTAAGTGAAGAACTGAGGGGGAAGAAATTTTTGTTTGTATTGGATGACCTTTGGAATGAGAAATATACTGATTGGAACTACCTCCAAACTCCTTTTACTTCAGGGGCAAGGGGAAGTAAAGTCCTCGTAACAACACGGAACAAAAATATAGCATCTTTCATGCAAAATGTTCCTATTCAAACCTTGGAACCATTGTCGCATGAAGATTGCTGGTTCTTACTTGCAAAACATGCAAATGTAAACTCTAGTTCACATCCAACCTTGGAAGAAATTGGCAAGAAAATTGCACGCAAGTGCAATGGGTTGCCTTTAGCTGCACAAACACTTGGCGGTGTGTTACGTTCGAGGCCAGACTCTGAGGTATGGAACAGAGTACTAAACAGCAGCATTTGGGAGTTACCTTACGAGAAAAGTGACATTCTTCCCGCTCTAGGATTGAGTTATCATTATCTTCCAGCTAAGTTAAAGCAATGCTTTATTATTGTTCAATTTTGCCAAAGGACTATGAATTCATGGTAGAAGATGTTATTTTTCTTTGGATGGCGGAAGGTTTAATTCCCCAAGCGGAGAATGGGGACAACATGGAAGAAGTGGCTAAGGAATATTTTGATGAACTGTTATCCCGATCACTGTTTCAAACGTCGGGGAAATCAAGTTTCGTTATGCATGATCTCATCAATGACTTGGCTGTGTTCATGTCTAAAGGATTTTGTTCCAGATGGGAAGGGAGGGAATCACATGAAGTAGAAAGAGTTCGACATTTGTCATATGCTAGGGAAGAATTAGATGTTTTTGTTAAATTTGAGCCATTAAAAGGGGCTAAGTGTTTGCGTACCTTCCTATCTATCTCTTTAGAACCATATTATTGGAAAATTGAAGGTGATTGTGTAAGTAAAAAGGTTCTGCATAATTTGTTGCCATCTCTAACATGTTTACGGGTGTTGTCATTGTCCTGTTATGCGAATGTCACTGAGTTACCTGATTCCATTAAAAAGCTCATTCACTTGCGCTATTTGGATCTCTCCAATACTGCAATTGAAACGTTACCTAGTGTACTTTGCAGCCTCTACAATTTGCAGACATTATTATTGTCAAATTGTTCCCGTCTCGTTGAATTACCTACAGACTTGAGAAAATTGATAAATTTACAGAAATTGATGTTGGGAGGTTGTGATTCTCTTACTAAATTGCCTGTAGACATGTGGGAATTAATTAATTTGCATCATCTTGACGTGAGTGGAACTAAAATTGCAGAGATGCCAATGCAAATGAGTACATTGAAAAGCTTGAGAACATTGTCCGCTTTTATTGTGGGCAAATCTACTGGGTCGACTATTGGAGAATTGGGGGAGCTTCCACATCTTGGAGGAAAACTTTCAATTTTGCAGCTAAGAAATGTAGTTGATGCTAGGGATGCCTTGCAAGCAAATTTGAAGGATAAGAAAGATCTCAAAGAGTTAGAGTTGGAATGGGGTAAGGGGGATGCGGATGATGCCCAAAAGGAGAAAGATGTACTTGAGAAGCTCCAGCCTTGGGTGAATCTGGAGAAACTAACCATCAGTGGGTATGGTGGAAAAGATTTCCCGAATTGGCTAGGCGGCTCATCCTTGTCAAACATACAAGTCATGCGTATTAGTGCTTGTAGTAATTGTTCGTCGCTGCCACCGGTTGGGCGGCTACCTACCCTCAAAGAGCTCTGTATTATGAAAATGAAACTTGTTAAGACGATTGGTGTTGAGTTTTATGGCAGCACTGGATCTTCTGTAATTCAGCCATTTAAATCACTGGAGAAGCTGGAGTTTTGGTTGATGGAAGAGTGGGAGGAATGGGTACCAAGTGGAAGTGGAGGTGTAGATTTTCCATGTCTCCAGGAGCTCATACTATACGAGTGTCCGAAGCTGAGAGGAAGCTTGCCTTGTGATCTCCCTTGCTTGAAGAAGCTTTAGCGTGCGAGGGTGTGGGGTTTTACATGATCAAAGGGCCACTAATGCTACTAGTGTTAACATGAATTACAAATCTCTTGAAGAATTGAGCATATCATTTCGCGCAACATGTGTAGATGAACAAACACTTGGCGGTGTGTTATCATTACTAGAGACAAAGCTCCTGTCCAAACTTGAGATTAGGAGGTTAAATGACGTACAGTGTTTGCCCAACATCAATCGTCTTCAAAATTGGAACTATTAATTGTCCAACCCTGTCGTCGTTCCCTGAAGATGGGGCTACCCACTACGTTGACATTCCTTGTGATACACTTGTGTAGGAGATTAGAATTACCTCATGAGATGTTGGCCAAATTAACATCGCTCGGGCATTTGTCGATAATGAATAGCTGTGATTCAATGAGGTCCTTCCCGTTGGGCATTTTTCCCAAATTGACGTCGCTTTTCCTTTGGGATTGTAAGAATCTGGAATCCCTTTCCTTGATTGAAGAAGAAGGAGTTGATGAGAATCTCAGTCGTCTCAGTATCTTACACTGTCCAAATCTGGTGTGTTTTCCCCAGGGAGGATTGCCCACTCCCAACCTGACTGAATTGGAATTCATCAGTTGCGAGAAGTTGAAGTCATTACCTAAACGCATTCACACCCTCACAGCCCTTCGGGGATTGACGATGGATGATCTTCCAAATCTGGAGTCAATTGCAGAAGATGGGGGTTTGCCTCCCAACCTGAGTGAATTGGAATTCATTAGTTGCAAGAAGTTGAAGTCATTACTGAACGCATTCACACCTTCACAGCCCTTCGGGCATTGAAGATGGATGATCTTCCAAATCTGGAGTCAATTGCAGAAGAGGGGGTTTGCCTCCCAACCTCCGACATTTTAGCATTAAGAATTGTGAGGGACTGAGGGCTCCATCTTCATCAGTGGGAGACTACTGTAAGTGGGGTTTGCAATCCCTTGAAAAATTTGAAATTGGTGGCAGGGGAAGTGACGAAATCTTGGAGACGTTGCTCAAGCAACAGCTGCTCCCTACCACTCTTCAACTCCTCAAGATCAGTGAACTTTCAAGTCTGAAATATTTGGACGCAAAGGGACTTAAACACCTCACTTCTCTTTCTTTTCTGAGCATCTCGAATTGTCCTGCCCTGGAAAAAAGGTATAAGAAGAAGACAGGAAAAGGTTGGGCCAACATATCTCACATTCCATGCATCAAGATAGGCGAAGAAGTGATCATATGATATGAGCTCTCTCTCTCACACACATTCCTTACATCCGAGGTTTCACTCCCAACTCTCAAATCAAACTCAGGTATGTACTTCAAATAACTGGCTTAACTGGTTTTCTTCCAATTGAATCCAAATACCAAAATACATATTATTTTTTTGATAAAAAAACCCATATGCATATTGGATTTCCCAAATTCATGTCCCCAAATAAACCGAGATGCATATTTGTTACTATTTTTATGCCCCCAAGTTCATTGTGTCAATTACATTCTGGTCTCTTGTTATCTTCCGATTAAAATCATTTTCCAGAAAAAACAATTTGTGCTCAACAAAAACTTTCAATCTGATTTCTGTTATTATTTTTCAATCTGATTTCTTTTGCAGGACAGCATACCTTCTCGTAGAGAGCTTTTCATTTGCAAGGTTTCTTTGCATGCCATTTCCAGATGAGGGGTTTGCCGTTGTATATAGCCTTACAATTGTCACAACGAGGAGAAACAGAGAGGCTCGCCTGGAATATCTCAATTTGACGCATTTCTGCATACAGGCATCGAATGTACAACATTTTTAGGTACTTTCTCATAAGCTTAAGTTGAGTCTCATTCGAGCTAGTTTAAATTGTATTTGATGCCTAAAGATAACCTGTGAGCTTCAGTTGTTTGATCAAGTTATCTATATCCTTTTCTCTGTTTTTAGATTTCATTCATGTTGTGATTGGAGTGCTGCTGTTTTTTAAATTCATTCATGTAATGTTAGGATGTTTAATCTCTGGTTTGCACTTTCTCATCTTCTTCATTCTGTTAGGATGTTTAGTCTGATCACAAAAATTGGTTCACAAATGGAAAGTCACGATTAGATCTATTAGCAGAAGATCTGGAGGGGTACGTTCTAATATTTCTTTTCCTTCCATTCTTTTGCCTCCCTCACCATCATAACTTTTTAATGACAGAGAGGTTGGGTGGGGAAGGGGGAGGCAACAAGAGAAATTTGGAATCTCTCACAATTAAACGTGCAGATTAATTGCTAAATAGTCGACGTATTTCTGGTGCCAAATTTATTTTATTCCAACATCTAGGAATTGGATACGTTTTGCTCTTATAGTTCTGAAAACTTTACAATTGGTGGCAGGGGAAGTGACAATATCTTGGAGACGTGCTGCTCCCTACCACTCTTCACACTCAGCGCATCAACCAAATTACAAGTCCGAAATCTTTGGAGAGAAAGGGACACCTCACTTCTCTTCAACACCTACGAATGGAAAGCTGTCCTAGTCTCGAATTTCTGCAACTTCAACACCTCACTTCTCTTCAAAGGCTATATATTAGTTGGGGTGACAATCTCCAATTCATGCCAAAAGAGGGTTTGCAGCCATCTCTTTCTTTACTGCAGATCTACAAATGTTCTGGCCTGGAGAAAAGGTCTGAGAATAAGATGGGAAAAGATTGGGCTAACATATCTCAAATTCCTTGCATCCAGAGAAATGATCCAAGTTTTTTTTTGTTTTGAAAACCCAGAACACTACTTTGTCAACTTTGTTGGCTCAGCTTCCAACTGGGGGCCCACCGCCATCACTCTCTCTCTCTCACATCCCCTGTATCCAATGTTTCACTCTCAACTCTCAAATCAAACTCAGGTATGTTCTTCAAATAACTGGCTTAACTGGTTTTTATTCTAATTGAATCCAAAAACCAAAATACATATTCTTTCTCTGTTAAAAAACTGAAATACATATTTGATTGCTCAAATTCAGTGTCCAAATAAACCAAGTTACATATTTGTTACTATTTGTATGTCCCCAAGTTCATTGTATTATCTTATTACATATCAGAGAATAACCAAGTCTTTATGGAAAGGGGTCTGCCAGCAATTTTGCATCCCATGAACTTTTACAGTTGCCAAAAAAATCATAGCATTTATCTTTTATTACTAATTGTACCTAAGCTCGCGTTCTCATATTGGTTAAATAGTTTCACGCATCTGATCAAAATCAATTTGTGCTCAACACAAAACAATCCGATTTCTATTATTATTTATTATTTTGCTCAGTAAAATTTCGTTCTATTTACTTTATTTCTCATTGGGGTTGTTTTGTTCTGCTGATCACAAATTATATCCTATTTAAGTCTCAAAAGCTGAATAATAGTAGTCTTTTTGCAGGACAGCATACCATGGAGAGCTTTACATTTGCAAGGTTTCTTTACGTGGCATTCCCAGAGCAGGGTTCACCATTGTATATGGCCTTTTGTTTTTCTGCAAAAACAATTGTCACAGCAAGGAGAAACAGAAAGGCCCACCTGGAATATCTCAATTTGACGCATTTCTGCAAACAGGCATCGAATGTACATCATTTTAGGTACTCTTTCATAACCTGTGAACTTAAGTTGTAAGATAAAAGTGGCACTACATGATTATACTTATTGCTTATTTTGAACTGAAGAAGCCTACTTTTGACATAGGTGACATGGCAGAAAACTCACATTCGTACTTCCGTCCCAATTGGCATGCCGCCTCATCTTCTTTATACTGTTACCAGCTTGAAGCTTTTGTAGATATGTTAGGCTCTTGTAGTTCTGAGTGCTTGACAAATTGAAAGTTCCAATTAGATCTTTTAGCAGAAGTTGTGGAGGTACACTTTCCTACACTTTTTTCCTTTCATTCTTTTACCTTATCACCATCATAACTTTTTAATGACAGAGAGGTTGGGGTGGGGAAGGGGAAACAACAAGAGAGAATTTAAAATATCAGAGAATCAAACTTGCAGATTAATTTCTGTAGAGTTAATGTATTTCATTGTACCTAATTTTATTTTATTTTTCCAACAATTGGATTTAAAAAGTTAGGTACTATGCTTTGGACGTTTGTAAGATAGTTATTCTATTTGTTAGTATTTTCTAAATATAAAAATCAGTAGTAACAAAAACAATTTCGTACCAGCGGTTATTGTATTACAGACTAAACATCAGTAGTACAGACTGTCATGTACATACATACCAAAATGTTTTGTTAGACTGAAAAGATTGGCATAGGAAATTTATTCACGTGGCATAAGGAACCGAGTCATGAATGGAAATTGTGATCCAAAGCATATTGGTTACTTTTATAAGACTCTTTGATTAATAGTAGTGGCATATCAGCTGAGGCCTTTATGACTGTATTCTTAAATTGATTATTCTCTTATTGTTTTTATACTGTTAAAAGGAGTTAGCCGCACAGAATGAAAAACTACAAATGCCATCTTCTTTCATACCATTTTTCAAAAGTCCATTCATCCCATTCTTCTTCAACAACGCAGGAAGTTATACTAGTCGCATGGTTCAATGGAGGTGACTTTCCTTTGCCCTATCCTGGTCCAGCTGCTTTACCTAGCTTTATATATGCTTGTGTAGATAAATTCTTTCCTTTGCCACAAATCATTCCTTCAGCTGCAAAGTTCTATTTGATGAGACTTGAAATGTTGGATGTGTACTTGCAGACTCGAGAAACTTTCTCATGTTTGGAGGTCAAGGCAACTCATGTAGGCAACCATGCATGATTTCAGAGTCGAAGCTGATGCTGTAATCATAAATTTCACCTTAGCTGCTTCACTGTAAATGCCTTTCTGTGCTCGCTTCTTCTGTAAGGGGCTATCAGATTAGTTTGTCAGCAAGATTTAATATGGTTCACTTTTTTGTTGCTTTCCTATTACCATAACCAAATTGGTTTTGTAGGATCAAACGAAGCAGTTTCATACATTGCATGCACTGTTTCATCAGCATTTCAGACGGAAAATGAGCCTTGAATTGTCTTCTAAGCCAATGGATTTTTCTAGAATCTGAAGTGCAATGGAAAATTACTGAATTGATCTACACAAAGAGTAAACATTTTTTCTGTTGGATGCTGGAAAGTGCCTCTTATAAGTGGCTAAGTTGCGATATGTGGTGCCATCAAACACTCTGCAAAGGGGTAAGTCATCTAGTAACTTACGCTTTATTTGATGGGTATGTTATCTCGGTGCTTGTAATCTACATATGGAGTCGTCACTGACAGGTCCGTCACATTACATCAGTCATATATGGGATATGAATCATACACTTTGTGCTTTTGAACTCTCAAATGAAGAGAGATTTTTTGTTTGTGGATTAATATTGTCATATCCCTCGTTATTTATTGTATTTGAACACCCAATTGAGATGGATTGTTGTGTCTGTGTTATTTATTGTCATGTCCTTTCTCCTTTGCTTCATTTCTGGTGGTTGCTTACTTAAATCTGTCCTTCAGCAGTTCAAGTTGACACCGGAGTTGAACAAGGATTAGGTCAGCTGTATATTTCGCGGTAAACACCTCTTTCTATACATATTTGTAACTGTCTACATAGATTAATTTATCAGCATGATTTTATGGTGCATTTAGAACCTAAACATAAAAAATAAATTCCTGTTGTCAATAATTTGTTGATTCGAATTTGGACTTCTAGGAACAGATCAAGCATAGTCATACATGGCATGGGTCACTTTCATCATCATTTCAGACGTAAAATCAGCCTTCAACTGTCTACTGAGTCAATAGACCTTTCTAGGTATCTCAAGTGCAATGGAAAATTCATGACTGACTTAAAGATTCGCAAAGAGTTTTCTCTTTGAAATGTGAACTGCAGAGAGGTAAGAAAGTCACTGTCAAGTAAAGTTATACTTTCAATTTATACGCTTCTTATATATAATTATAAGTTTATCTACACCCCAGGGCTAACCTGTTGATGAATTAATATGGTGCTAACTATCGTTTAGAGTCTAAACCCAGTCAACACCCTGGTCCCATGATCCAAAATTGGAAACTATGTAGTCATCTAACGTTGATCAAATGAAGAAGAACACAGTATATTTTCGATAAATAATGAAAAAAAATACACATCTACCCTTTCACAGTTCCACATTAACTCTTAAAAATGGCTGCATCTTAGAACAATGACACTGAATCTGTATAGCTCATCTTCAATCTAAAGATTAAAACGCAACATGAGTGTTCTTTCGTCCTCTGTTGTTTATTTGATTATCTTTTGACTTTTGGAGGTGTTTTCAAATTTGAGAATACAGTAAACGCAGTGTACATATATTGAAAGTATTCCACATGATTTTCAACAATAATATTTTCTTTTCAGATTTGCTGATGATTGCAACACTTGCAGAGATATAGGGTGAAGGAATCAGAGCTGACCGTGAGGGCAGCTGATGCGCAATGTTATTGCAACGGCAACATGGTCCGAAGTGGCAATTTCATTCAGAAGCAAAGCTCTAGTAAGGAAATTGGTCGAGGTTGGGGCAGGGATGATTGACGGTGAAATGGGTGTTAATTTTTCTCACAGCGCATTCTCAAAGTTTTTATTTGCAAATGTAAGAGATTGGAGTATTTTTATTGAAAGGAGATGACATGTTCCCTAGAATAGCCAATCTTCCTCCAAGTTTTTTATTTTTATTTTTTAAATTTAAGCAATCTGTGGTCTTAGATTGATCTGGTGGTGCAAATCAGTCCTAGTTTCTTTTCCAAAATGTCATCAATCGGAACCTTGTAATTGAGAGCAATATGCTAAATGTTGTTGGATTGGATCTATCCTCTTCATTGTAAACCTAATGTCTACGAGGCCTTCAAGGTGTTTATGCCTAACGTTGAGAATTTGTAATATGAGTTATTTACACCAACACCCCCTAAGGTTTTCGGTGTTTTCACAAAACCCCCTAAGGTTTTCCAAAATTTTAAAAATTACAGGTTTTAAATTGTTTTCACAAAACCCCTTTTCGTTCAAAGATTAATGAAAATTTTCTCCAAATGACAAAGTTAGCCTTTGAGATTAGCTTGCACATACACTTATTGAGGTAATTTTGTCATTTGCATAAGTTTTTTTAATATGAAATCATCAATTTTTGGAAGAACAATCAATGAAAAGGGTTTTTGTGAAAATAATTTAAAACATTAGGGGGTGTTCGTGTAATATTTGAAACGTAAGGGGTTTTTGTGAAAACACCGAAAACCTCAGGGGGTGTGAGCGTAAATAACTTTGTTATATTCTAAGATCGAAGGTTTTTGGATTTGTATTTACTTTAACCATGTGAATGACATATGATGTTGTTAGGGGTATATTGGACTTTTAGTGAGTGGAGAGAAGGCGCCAAGGATTCGTCCTCAATCAAGAAAACATGTTTGCCACCACACCGCATTGCGAACCCACCTGAGATCTCTACCTTTCAGTGTTCTCCCCATGCCTTCAAAACATGCGAGCATTGGCGAGTGGCCTAAACTCCTAGCCATAATGGTGGCAACATCCCACCTTCTCCATCATTGTCATTGTGGAAGTGATTTTCGTCCCACAAAATATTCGTCTAAGATTCCGTCTTCCTCTTCGCTTCTCTTTCTCCCTACAAAACAATACAGAGTAAAGGATCATACCCGGGGGGGTGTTGGCCAAAGGCCCTCTAATGCCTAAGTTAGTTCAAGTGTTTGTAGGAAAACAATAGCTAACAAAAGATGGAGATTTCTCTAGGGTGAGAACCGAGTGGCCAGAACCGTGTGTGTGAGAGAGAAAGAGTTATGGCGGTTAGGGTTTGTGAGATAGAATTTCTGCAGAGTTTCAAACTGAAGTTTAGACGTACATCAACCCTTAGTGTAGCCATGTATTTATAGGAGCCTCGAAGGCTAGGGTTTTGGAAGAATAATTTCACAGATGGAAATGAATTATTATTCCCCAATTTGGAGAGATTGACGCAATTAGGGTAAGAATCAAATAATTCCCAAATTGATTGGCTTAATTATTTGACCTAGGATCCGTAGATATTTTGCTTCCACAGTCATCATGGTCATCGTCCACTATGTCTAATTCGCGGTGATTCCTCATCACATTGGCCAACACCGTGACATTCCTCGGCATCAACTGGTGGTACTTCATAGAGGACAAATGTAGGTGGTTTAGGGTTTAGGGTTGAGGAACTAGAAATGACGTTTTTAGCCCTCATTTAGACGACCAAATTGACGAATTATAACGGTAGGACCTAGTTGGATTGGAACTACCTGTTGAGTTCACTGATGTAACTGCCTAAAAAAAATTCAGAACTCAATTAAAACTTGAGGTAAAGTTCACTCTATTTTAGCCTTGTGACTAAAATTTACATTTTTTTAAAAAGGAGTTGGGTGTAAATATTAAGCTGGGTTAACTTAGGAGAAAGTTGGGTATGCGTATCAAAACGAAAGCCGAAATTAACCAGAAATCAGCCGCTCTGTTCATTCCCAGCTTCTTCTACTTCTACTCTGGAGCTCTTTGCAACAAGAGTAACATTCCAAAATCAACTTACCTCAGGCCTCAGGTTTCAACTAGGGTTTTTCGATTTTCCAATAGAAATTGATTATCATCGACTTCTGAACATGGCATTGCTCTTCAAGTTGAAGAGCCTCAGATTGGGTTATTCAATACTTTCTTCTACATTCGCTTCAAAAACTAAAAGGTTTGTTGTTGGAGATCGAAAACCCTCAAATTTTTCTCTTCAAAATCAGTTACTCTGCCGACACTTCACCTCAGAAATCTCGGCAAACCAACACAATTTCACAGTCACTTACCTCATAAACTCATGTGGGTTGTCTCCAAAAGCTGCAATTTCAGCATCCAAGAAGGTCGAGTTGCAAACCCCAGAAAGAGCAGACTCCGTCTTAGCCCTTGTGAGAAACCATGGACTCTCTGAAGCCCAGCTCTCAAAGTTTGTCAGGTTACACCCAGAAGTTCTTTTAGCCGATCCTGAGCAAACCCTTTTGCCAAAGCTTCGGTTTTTCATCTCTCTCGGGGTTTCAAAGGAGGACCTTGCGAAAACTCTGGCTTTCTGTCCGCAGATTTTGTCAAGAAGCTTGGAGAAAGAGATTTTACCCGATTATAATTTCCTTAGGAGCTTGATTCCTGAGAAAAAGGTTGTTTCTGTTTTGAAGAACAGCTCGTGGTTTTTCTTCGAAGGCCACTCCAAAAATGTGGTGCCAAATATTGGTCTTTTGAGACAACTAGGTATGCCCCAATCATGCATTTATCTGTTGCTGGCTCATTATATTAATGTTCTGATGGTAAAGCATGAAAGGTTTGGTGTAGTTGTGGGTAAGGTCAAGGAAATGGGATTTAATCTGGAAAAAGCCACTTCCGTGTCTGCTCTACGTGTATTGTGTGGTAGGCACAAGTCAGTATGGAACCGAAGTTGGGAACTTTATAGGAGTTGGGGTTGGTCTGATGACGATATTCTCTCTGCTTTCAGGCGGTATCCGCAGTGTATGATTCACTCGGAGAAGAAGGTAATGGAAGTAATGGATCTTTTAGTGAACAACATGGGATGGCCGTCAAGAAAGATTGCCCAATATCCTGTGGTCCTGAGTTTGAGTTTAAAGAGGAGACTGATCCCAAGGTGTTCGGTTGTTAAGGTTTTGTTTTTGAAAGGAGTTATAGATGAAAACTTGCGTTTGGGTTCCGTGTTGCTGCCTGTGGAGAAGCACTTCCTGGAAAAGTTTGTAACTACATATCTCAAGGAAATACCTCAATTGTTGAATGTGTATCAAGGGAAAGTTGAATTCCAGGATGTATGATGTTATAACAGTTTTGACACCTTGATGCGGCAGTGTTTTGCTTGGAAAATTGCTTTTGATACAATACACATGTCTTGCTTCTGTTGGGGTCCAATTTAAACTCCTCTGCAGGTGAGTGAAAAGGACAAAATCTTTTCAAGTTAGAAGTCAATGCAAAAATCTGAGAAATATTTATTCATTTAACAGTTCAGTGACTTCAAAGCCGGCAACCAAAATGTACACATAATGACTAGCTTACCGGGATCCCTGGAGCGAGGCATTTTCGGTGCTTATATCAGTATCATGTCACCATTTCAAGAGAGAGGGGGGGGGCAACTGGATTTCCCAGCACAACAGCACCATCAGTTTCAACACCTTTCCTTAAATATGAATGAATACACGTGCTTAATTTAACCGAATGCATGTATATTCATAGTTCCTTTGAAGTAATGTGTGCTTAATTTAATCGTTTTAAAATTAAGGATCACATTGGTGATTACTATTGGCAATTGGACAAGTGGTGAAAACGACAGAAACTGTTGATGCAAATGATTATGTTAATTGATATTATTTTTCCTATTTGAATCTCACCTTTAATTTCACTTATCTGTATACCTCTTTACTTATTTAAAGAGGAGTTCTTCTAGTTCTGATTGAAACTTAACTTAGCATGCATGCCATTGAGTGCTGCAGCTGCGGGTCATAAGAAATAAATAAGGAAATTGATCCCCTTCATGCTTCTCTCTTGAGATCAGAAAATCTCCAGAGGCTTCATAACGGATTCATTCATCCCCACCGATAACAATTGCCAGCTGACTCGTCATTGTTTCAATAAGCTGGATCTTTTGTCCCCAGAGGAAGTCTAAACTTTTTACTGGAACTGGCAGGAAAATGAAATTTTAGAACATTCTGTTCACTCTGCTCATTCTATGCATGCTGTGAATTTTCAATAATTACAGTCTTACGACGGTTAATAAATAAACAACCATGTAAATTCAGTATTTAGGTTATGGAGATTGTGTTGCTTTGCAGCTTTGTATTGAAGCTGTATAGTTATTTTATCTACAGCATTACACATGATTAGAGTAATCTGAGAATTAAAATGGAATGGCATTTGGTAGGCATTCATGCTGTGAACATCTCTTTCTAATTGTTTTTATATCTGCATTGCCTTCTCGAGAAAATGTCACACTGAGGATTGAGGTATATCACTGTACAAGCATTATCAAGCTAACCACCTGAAAATGGGAACTAGAAATGTATGTTTTCTGGTACAATCCATGTTTGATCTGTTAGTCTGATTCCCCAATTTATTAACTATTATTTGGTTATAACAAATGTTACTAACTTACTACAGTACACCTTTTGCTGCAGACAAGCTACTTTATAAATGGTTGAGAAAATATGACAGCAAATATGGAAAGGTGAGAGGTTAATGATGCACGTTACAGAATTCATCTTTCAGTTTTCTGATACTACGGTTTCCAAACTGTTCTGTTTTCTCATAGAAAATTGTCCTAATTTGTTATCGAAATGCTGGTGCATAATCTCTGCATATAAATATTTATTGATCAGTCTATATTTTGTCATTCAAATTGTGGATTCTCAGCACCTCAATTTAATTTGCAAATTACTGTTCTCATCAGGCAATGTTACATACATTGTGAGCCTCTTCATCATGGAAATGCATGTGAAGAATTTTCTCTAGGGGTTGAATTGCCTTTCATAATCTGGAAAATGTTAATAAGCTGAAATTATAAGGTGGAGAAGAAGAAGGTGAAATCCATAAATAGGCATAAAACGAGTGGAGTGGGTTCCTAACTAGAAGTTTTTTTTCCATTGTTTATACCATATTTGACCAAGCAACTAGAAGCAACTCTAGGCAAAGCAAAGAGTCCCACATTGGAATATTACAAGAAGTGAATGCTCCCCATCACCTATAAAAGGAGACCACTCTCCCCTTAGAAAAGGATCCTTGGGCTGGGCTTGATATTTATTCATGGCCTTCTCCTTTCTTACATTTAAATTTGGATCTAACCCCATGTACAAATGTAAATACACAATATTATAGAATACACTTCTCCGTGGACGTAGCCCATTCATTAAGGGTGAACCACGTATATTTTGTCTTCTGTATGTTTATCGCTTGCTCCAATCCTCACACACTTGGTGAAGGTCCTCACTTTCACCCATCATCCATCACACCTCATCACTAAGTTGGCCTCGAAAGTGCCGAACCATTTTTGAGCGTCAACAGTTTGGCGCCGTCTGTGGGAATCGACACAAAAAGCTTCTGTCATTCTCCCCTTTTTCAGTGCCCTTCGGCACCCCTGCAATCAGCATCTCCTAACTTGCCGAACGGCAATCTAATGTTGGAGTAACCATGAATGGCTGAAGTAACATTAGCAGAAGATGACATTTCAAGGAGAAGCCAATCAGACACTGGCTCTCATTTTGCATGGCATGCAATTCAATGCATGCATATATTATTCAAATGGCTCAATCGGTGGCGTAGCCTCCATTTGTTATCATTTTAATGCTATTTTGTCATATTTGCCATATTGGAAGGTCTGGAGCAATTTACATGGCCTTACCGTTCGGTACCGCAGGACACCCTGGGCCATGGATTAGTCAAAGACCTCCCATCCAACCCCAAAATTGCCAAAATGGCAAGCTAATAGCACCTCAGGCAGTCCCAAGTGCAGAACCGGTTTTTACCATAGCAAAATGGCACAGGGCCACCGTTGGGTCAAGCCACCATGCTGGACAGAAGCTCTCTAATGGATGGTATATCAGAATGGCAAAGCACAAACCCAAATCTACCCCTCTGGTTTTATCGGTCACCATACAAAAGGATATCAATATGAGCACATCGCGATCATCCTTCTCTAAAAAAGATAAGTGGAATAGTCCTTATCTTTTTTATCTTATTGTTATTTTATTAAGATCTTATCAGGCTCATTTGTGGTCCAGAATATTGCCCAACTTTGGATGGCTTTACATGCACTAGCATATGCACTACGACACATGGCAAGGAATATTCATGCCAATATCTCCTACAGTTCTCTACACACCCACCTTCAAATCAGTGGCTATCAAAGAGCAGAGGCGGCCCATGGGGTGTGCGAGGTGTGCGACCGCACAGGGCCCCCAAAATTTAGGGGCCTCCAAATTTTTCCAAGTCAACCCATTAAATTAACTAAAACATGAAAATAAATATTAAATATTAAATATCACCCCACAACACCACATGCAAGGCACCAAAACCAAAATTGAATTGAATATTAATTATCAACAAATTCTACGACTTAAAGAGTAGAGGCCCTAATTTAATTCATTTTCCTCTTCCCAACTCTCAAGCTGCAAAACCATTCTAATATTCTTTTATCTTTCAGTAAGTCTTTCTCACTCTCCTCCATCAAAATAAAGTCATTTCTCTTCAGTACCAATGTACCACCCTTTTCCATCAAATTTTGAATTGTAAAAACCCAAGCTTTAGCCATTTCCCCAAAATCACAGTTCTTTTCTCCCTCCCTCATTCATATGAGAATTCACCAAGCATTGAAATTGGGAAATCAATTTATCAGCTATGTGATTTGGAAGGGTGACTAAAGAAATTTTTCTGGGAAATTCTTTCTGAATGTGTTCTTCCCGTGTCAGAAATTTTTGTTTCTATATGGAAATTTTTTTTTCCTACTTGTATATATAGGGCCTCGACATCCATATTTGCACAGGGCCTCCAAAATCAATGGACCGGCTCTGTCAAAGAGAAATATGATAAAAAGTTGCATGCCGTTCCCTGAATTGGCATCTCAAAACAAAGGCCAACTACAGCATGCGAACAGCCACAATCCCAAAATCCAAAACTGAAGCGCTCACGAAGACACCCAGCACCCTTGCTGGAAGTAAGGAGAAACCTCTCAAGACACCCAAAGCTTGTGGAGGATGCCTTACCGTTCGGTAAAGCAATTAATATCGGTTTGGAACTGAAGAAGGTGCTAGCAGACGACGGTACCGACACTACACAGACCCAGCTCGTGCAGCCCAGTTCCTGCCGCAGCTTCTGAGACCCGGTCCACGTACACAAACCTTGCCGATCCTACCTCCTTCAAGAATGCATCTCGCCAAACCCAGCTTCAAAATCTCGAGCAAAAACCAACCCAAGGGACAACAGCCTAACGGTAGGTCTTGTGCTGCCGAACCAGCACGAATGAACCAACCTCACAGTCCCAAGCCAGCTTCCATACAATTCGGTGCTTGACTACCAAATGAACACTCGGACATCAATGGACCTAGCTCCAAGAGCCCAGCCCCAAAATTTTACTCAATCCACCCTTGCCGTTCGGCAAGGGTTGTGCGGAAGCAATGGGGACTGCAAGATGGCTCCTTCCAAAAATCAAGGTGCCTCCACGAAACCAGCCTTCTGGCCACTCTACCGGAGCTGTGCATACAAACCCTCGAGAAACTTCTCAACACCCTTGCCGAACGGCAAGGGTCGTGACGAAACAGGGAGCTTGCGAAATCTGCTCAAATCACATCGGAACCACCAAGTCTTGCCTGCCGAAGGAAGAGGGACGGTCAAGTCTCACCAGGGCCTCACCGTGACTTCACGCCGGAATCAATGGAAGACTCGACCTCTCCTTCGAACCACGTCGTGCCGAGGCTGTGACCACGAAGCCTCCTCTCCACCCTTGCCGAACGGCAAGGGTTGCGCACAGACTCCAGAGGCACGACAACCCGAATCGGCTCACCTTGCCCAGCACAACCGCCTTGGTCATCTTGCCGACACCACTATCGCATGAGGCTGACTTACCAAAGCAGAGGTTGTTGGCAGACTTTGCCGAACGACATATATGGTACTGCTGAACCAGTGGTTTCGAAAACAAACCCAATCTGCGGAAGACACCACAGGCTCCTAAAGAGATTTCAATCCACCCCTTGTCGAACGGCAAGGGCTTTGTGGCAGCAAAGGAGCTCACAAAAAACATGATGCCGAAGGTCCAACTTCAAACACACTCAAGTGGAAACACCAGGGGACTCGGCAAGAACCCAGCTCCAATATTTCTAAATCACCCTTGCAGATCGGCAACCTTGCTGAAAGCAACTAAGACATTTTGCCTTCTTGTACACAAACTGCCGAACGGCAGGTCTGATAAAGAGACTCTGCTCTCTCACCTTCTAAAAATCCTAGGCCATGCCGCCCAAGGCCTCACGCCAAAAACAAACGGGCCCAGCACCTTGACTTCACGAAACTCCCTTCTCCAAGCTACCCTTGCCGAACGGCAAGGGCCATATCGAAGTCAAGACACACCTCTGGAGGCCCACGAGTTGCTCCCTTGCCGAATCACTAAATTTCAAAGGCCCACTTATGGCATTTGGCGTTCATAACAACACAACCAAAAACAAAAGAAAGAAACCCAAAATTATTAGCCATCGGCAATAATTATTGGAAAAGATCATCGGCATATACTCCAAAAGAAAAAACCCAAGACTATTAGCTATCGGCAATAAACATTGGTAAGCTTTTTCTACAAGACGAGAGTGATGCCTTCGGCACCCGTCATTTGACACGAGCGATGCCTACGGCACCCTGTCATCATCCGACGAGAACGATGCCTTTGGCACCCCGTCATCATCTGACAAAGCGTTGCCTTCGGCACCCTGTCATTATTAGACGAGAGCGATGCCTTCGGCACCCGTCATTTGACATGAGCGATGCCTTCGGCACCCTGTCATCATTAGACGAGAACGATGCCTTCGGCATCCCGTCATCATCTGACAAAGCGTTGCCTTCAACACCCTGTCATTATTAGATGAGAGCGATGCCTTCGGCACCCCGTCATCATTTGACAAGAGAGATGCCTTCGGCACCCCGTCATCATTTGACAAGCGATGCCTTCGGCACCCTGTCATCGTTTGACAAGAGAGATGCCTTCGGCACCCTGTCATCATCCGACGAGAGCGGTGCCTTCGGCACCCCATCATCACCTTCGGCACCCTGCCATCAGCCGACGAGAGCGATGCCTTCGGCACCCCGTCATCATTTGACAAGCGATGCCTTCGGCACCCTGTCATCATTTGACAAGAGAGATGCCTTCGGCACCCTGTCATCATCCAACGAGAGCGATGCCTTCGGCACCCCGCCATCACCTTCGGTACCCCGCCATCATCCGACGAGAGCGATGCCTTCGGCACCCCGTCATCGTTTGACAAGAGAGATGCCTTCGGCACCCTGTCATCATCCGACGAGAGCGATGCCTTCGGCACCCCATCATCACATTCGGCACCCTGCCATCAGCCGACGAGAGCGATGCCTTCGGCACCCGTCATCATTTGACAAGCGATGCCTTCGGCACCCTGTCATCGTTTGACAAGAGAGATGTCTTCGGCACCCTGTCATCATCCGACGAGAGCGATGCCTTCGGCACCCCATCATCACCTTCGGCACCCCGCCATCAGCCGACGAGAAGCGATGCCTTCGGCACCCCGTCATCATTTGACATAGCGCTGCCTTCGGCGCCCTGTCATCATCCGACGCCTTCGGCACCCTGCCATCATCCGACGAGAGCGACGCCTTCGGCACCCCGTCATCATTCAGCACCATCGACACTACACTACTTGGAAGAAGACTAAGGTGTTGCTCGGTCAATGCATTGAAAATTGCAAGTCCTCAACCAAGGAGTACCTCCTTGCTTGAGAACTTGGGGGACTTCTGTTTATACCATATTTGACCAAGCAACTAGAAGCAACTCTAGGCAAAGCAAAGAGTCCCACATTGGAATATTACAAGAAGTGAATGCTCCCCATCACCTATAAAAGGAGACCACTCTCCCCTTAGAAAAGGATCCTTGGGCTGGGCTTGATATTTATTCATGGCCTTCTCCTTTCTTACATTTAAATTTGGATCTAACCCCATGTACAAATGTAAATACACAATATTATAGAATACACTTCTCCGTGGACGTAGCCCATTCATTAAGGGTGAACCACGTATATCTTGTCTTCTGTATGTTTATCGCTTGCTCCAATCCTCACACACTTGGTGAAGGTCCTCACCTTCACCCATCATCCATCACACCTCATCACTAAGTTGGCCTCGAAAGTGCCGAACCATTTTTGAGCGTCAACATCCATCTTTTATACTGCTAACTTAACTTGAAAATATCATTTTAGTTTATTTTCTTATGTTTGATTTATGCAGAAATTAAAAACAAAAATACTCTTAATTTTTCAATTCTACCCTTACATAATACATTAGAAGCATGCAAGGAAAATGTAATGAAGTAGATATGGGCTTAGCGAAGTTTGCTAGAGAGGATCTGATGCTCACTATGCACTTGAGTTCGAATATCCCTTCCTGTAATTTAGATTAATTTAAAGTAGAATATCGTTTGTTAAAAAAAAACGTAATTAATGTTAATTTGGATAGAATTGGCGTTAACAAGGCAAATTGGTCATAGAAAAATGTAACTTTATGCTTGCCATGACTTCTCACGGGTCAAAAGGAATGACAAATGAAACCCAATTTTTTTCATTTTCCTTAGTCCAAGAAATGAAATAAAAATAAGAGCACAATCCTCTTTTATGAGTGTTTTTTCATTTCTGTTTCTTCTAATCTTGGTTTAAAGACATATAGTTAATGTTTATTTCTTACAAATGAATGAAATTATGAATTGAGGAATTTAGATTGGGTAATTAAGCCATTGGAATTAGATCAACTACTCCTCCGAGTTGATTCCTTTCCTGATTTTAGTGTATGGGGGGTTAGGAAAATCTATGAATAGATATAATCGAGGAATTGGAAATAAATACCTCTACGCATTGGTCTCATTCAACTTTATGTATTTTTTAGGACCTTTCTTATTGAGAGGGATGATAATATACTAAACTCACACACACTACATGGATGCTAGAACTCGAACCTAGGACCTTGCCTGGTGGAGTATTACTCAAAACCACTACACTAGTGAATCTCATTCAACTTTTTAACACCTTGCACCCTTGTTTATTTAAGAGTGCTGCTATTTCCACCCCTGTCTTATTTCCTCATCCACTTTATTTTCCCATCTACCATGAAATTTTGAAAAAAAAAATACAATTTTATATTTCCACTCACCATTATTCCTAAAATAACCTTTAATTATTAATTCAAGCACTTTCTCTTTGCTAATCATTAATAGTTGATATATGGAGAAGATCAAGTTGTATTTGACGGACTGGATAAATGTTTTAGTCTAATATTTCTATGTTCTGGATCTTTTAGTTTTTTATTCTCTGCCTTGTTGTAGCTTATGAAAAGATTCTCCATAACTATTTTCCTTAAGTTTTTAGAAGTCATTTTACAAAGTGGTAAATTTGTTCTTAAAATTTTAAAGATAAGGTGGGTGAGAAATAGAAAAGGGGTGGAAATTATGGGTGGGCATGGGAACTAGAAAACCGGAACACCGAACTGGACTGGATGGAAAATATAGGAAAAAAAATTGATTGACTAAAAAAGTCAACAAACCGATATCAAACTAAACCAGACTGGTTTCTGTTTCGATTTCACACCTTATCAAATCAAACTGGACTGGACCAGACCGGTTGTGTATTATATTTTTTTTTGTATACAAAATTATTTAAATCCAATGCTACATTTTTAATCTCATAACTAATATTTCCTCAAGTCAAACTTCAAAACATCTCTCTTTTTTAGGCTCAATATCTCTCTTTGTATGAAATTGGATCATTTGTTAATTTTTAAGCCCAAAAAACTAAAATTTTAGTTGGAATTTATAATAAAAAAATTAAATAATAATCCTGTTCAAAATCGAAAAAACTGAAAACCAAACCAAAATTGATTCAAACCAGATTGACTAGTTTCCTAATTTTATTTTTTTTCACTAGAACCAGATCGATTAAAAATACCGATTTTAATTTCAATTTGAGGTGAAAACCGAATCGAACTAGCCCACGCCCACCTTAGAGCACTTCCAACAACAAGTCTTATCCCGGGCAGGAGGGGGACCAAACCCTAGTTTGACATTCCAATGAGCTTCTACAGACCAGGTAGCACGTGGGTCCAGCAAACTAGGCCAGCCCAAAGGCAAAACGAGCCCGTACTCAAGCCTGAGGGCTGTTGACACTAGCCTGACGTTAGACCTGATTTCCACTAACAGCTAGAGGCCACGTGGCAAGTTCTGGGTTGTTCGATCCTTTTTTGTCCTCCAATCCAATGGCTGCCTTATTTTTTGCTTAAAAAATTCAAATTGTTTTAAAAAAATTACCAAAAAGTTATGGAATTTTTTTTCTATAAATACATACCAGTATTCTTCACTTTCAACACCAAATCCTCATACATTTTTTTTCTCCTTCTAATATTATTCACTTTCTACACAAAATTTTTTTCACTTTCAAATTTCATTTTTTATTCATCATCACGAGCCAATGGTAAAAAAAATTTAAACTTTCGTGCGTTGACGCCAGGTTGTATCAAACCTTATTTCCGCCAGGTTGGCATCAACCCTGATTTCCACCAACGGCTAAAGGCCACGTGGCAAGTTCTGGGTTGTTCGATCTTTTTTTGTCCTCCAATCCAATGGCTGCCCTTTTTTTTGCTTAAATAATTTGATTATTTTTAAAAAAATTCTGAATTTTTTTTCTTCTATAAATTCCTACCAATATTCTTCACTTTCAACACCAAATCCTCATACATTTTCTTCTCCTTCTAATATTATTCACTTTCTATGCAAAATTTTCTTCACTCTCAAATTTCATTTTTATTCATCATCTTATGGCATATTCCATCGAAGCCGGAGATGTGTGGACAACCATAGAAGATGTTCTATTATGTGATTGTTGGGTCCAAGTTGGTCATTGTCTGATCATGGGCAATGAGATGAAAGTTCTCTCATACGTGGAGAAAAATTTGTGCCGAATTTTTTGAAAGATCGGGTTTTACTCATATAGAAATGGCCTTGGCTAGTAGGTGGAAAATTTTGAATAAAGAGTTGGGAAAATGAAGAGATGCGTCGGCAAAAGCGAGGGACAACCATCGAAGCAGTGAAAATCTTGGCAATGAGGTAAATTATTTGTAATTTCTGTTTTATTAAATTTTAATTTCCATTTTATTAAATTTAATGTCCTAATTTTTTAAATGTTTCTTGCATTTGCAATATTTTTTTAAATTGATTATGCAAGCACAAATGTGGTTCGATGCCATTGGCCAAGGCAGAAATCTTTCAACTATCAACAATGTTGGGAGGTGGTGAAAAATTGTTCGATATTCAAAATTATTTTCACACGTCCGATGTTGTGTTGAACGAGACACCGCTCCATGATTGAAAGGCATTGGATTCCCCGATGAGTCAAGACTCACTAATCCAAAGGAGTCGAGGCCTATTGGGAGAAAGGCGGCGAAGGCCAAGAGAAGAAGTACTTCCACCAATGATACTGCAAAAATTTTGGAGTAAATTGCTCTGAACGGCACCATGAGAATTGAGAGAGACATGAAAAAAAATGCGAATGAGAAGGCAATGAATGAAGGATATGCAAGAGAAATGGAGTGTATATGCAAATAAGACATGGATAAGAAGGATTGGGAAACCATGACCATGGATACAAGCCATATGTTCCCTGAAATAAAGTCATTTTGGAAGCTAGGACGAAGGGATGTTATGAGAAGAAGGCTTTTCCGTGACGATGGACCTAGCAACACCGATTAGTTAAATGATCAAAATCATTAGGTTATATTGGTTGCCTTTTATTTAAGGGAGATTCACTGATATACCCAATATAAGAGCCTAAATTATAAAAAAACCCTATATGAAATGGAATTTATAAACACACCCAAAGCCCATTTATAAAATAACAAAAAGGCTTTTAACTTCTTTTAAATTACAAAATTGCCATTGATTTCTTAAAACAAACCCAACCCAAAATTTCATAAAAAAGCCCAAAACACTCAATAGGGTATTAAAGTAATTTAATAATTAAAATTAAATTTAATAGTACCATTTGTCATTTTTTGGGTTTTTTTTGGGTATGTTTATAAAAATGAAATGATGTAGGGTTTATTTACAGTTTTAGTGCTTAGAATGGGTATATTACTAAATATCTCTAGTAAATAACCCAATCTGAGGCTCCTCAAGTTGGAGAGCGGAACCATGGTTGAGGTCGACGACGGTCAATTCCGAAAATTGAAAACCCCAAGCCAGGTTTTAGCGATTACAAGTTGATGACTATATCAAAGGTGGGCTATTGTGGAGTTGATGTGGTGGTGCAGCAGTGCGCGAATTTTTAAAATGAGAGGAAGCTCTTAAAAGATTTTTTATGTGGACAGACTGGTACTTTGACTAAAAAATACTGCTATTTTAACTAAGTACTTTCATCTATTTACCATGGTAAAGGGTAAGTGTAAGGTAAAGACTGTTACTATTTATGTGAATAGTAACAACCTTTACAAAAGGCTTGCTGTGTTTCTGTCCATTGCCATGGCAAAAGGCAAATATTTTTTTTTTTTTTTTTTTTTTTTTTTTTTTTTTTAACCAAATAATTTGGAGAAGATTTTCGGTTCCCACATGTCAATATTTATTATAAAATGCATATCTCATAATTTAAATCAATTTTTCGGATAAGATTCTCGGTTGCCACGTGTCAATATTTATTATAAAATAAAAATCTCAAATTTTAGATAAGATTTTAAGATAAGATTCTCAGGTGCCACGTGTCGATATTTATTATAAAATATAAATCTCATATTTCAGATAAGATTTTCACCCTCTAAAATCGCACCATGTGTCACCTCTATGTTCTAAATCTCTTTATAAAACTAGAGGCTCAACTCATACCTTTCACACCATATCTTCTCTATCCTTTCATTTCCAGATTTTAGATTTCATAGTCCACTCTCAATGTCAGACATGAAGAGATGCTTGGAGAGGCAAGAGTGAGAAATTAAAGAAAGAAGGCATAGACGAGCTGGAGAAGAAAAGGATGAGCAAGAAGATGATGAACAAGTTGCTACAGCAGTGGGTATGCTCGATCTGTCAAGGCAAGGTCGCCACTGTGGTTCACAAGTCGGTCATGGCTCGAACGTGGACAGACATAAGCATTCTCGGGGTATAAACCTTTTGGAAGATTACTTTATCCCAAATTATGTGTACTCTAATGTTGATTTTCGATGGCAATATAGAATGCAACCTCATTTGTTCAATAAAGTCATGCATAATGTTTGAAATTACGATGCATCCTTCGTTCAGAAGTGTGATGCTGCTGGGATTTTGGGGCTTCTTCCTCAGCAAAAGCTTATAGCTTCTTTACGAATGCTGGCGTTTGGTGCATCTGCATCTGCAGACCAGGTGGATGAGATTGCTAGAATGGGGAAGTCCACTACTCGAGATAGCTTGGTCAAATTCTGTGATGCAATCAAAACTCTCTACACCAAGGATTACCTCCGCAAACCCACACCTAGGGACCTCTAAAGGCTTCTACAAAAAGCCGAAACTCGAGGTTTTCCAGGCATGATTGGAAGCATCGACTATATGCACTGGCAATGGAAGAATTTCCCAACTGTTTGGCAAGAAGATTATGGAAATAAGAAAGGGCAAAAAAGTATCATTTTGGAAGTCGTTGCTTCATTTGATAAATGGGTTTAGCATGTCTTTTTCAGAGTTGCTGGATCTCAAAACAACCTAAACGTGCTGGGTCAATCCCCGGTATTCAACGATATGTGGAGAGGTCAAGCCCCTCATATCATCTATGAAATTAACAATACCGTCTACTAGGTTGGGTACTACCTTGCAGATGACATTTACCCGAGGTGAACGACATTTGTCAAAACAATTCTGTATCCCCGATCCAAGAAGGAAAAATTATTTATTGCCTATCAAGAGGGTTACAGGAAAGATGTGGAAAGGTGTTTTGGTATCCTCTAAGCTCGGTGGACAATCATTAAGGGTGCTGTTCATATGTTTGATGAGGAGGTGCTTCGGAGCATTATGATGACGTGCATCATCCTCCATAACATGATTGTGGAGGATTAGTATGATTATCATGCTTCAGAGGTGTTCGAACCTGATCACATGAACACGGCATTGACAAGAATTTATGAAAGGTCTATGGGAGCAAATGGACAACCACTAGAGCATAAACCGTTGGTTAGGGACGGTCGTTTCAACAACCATATGATTGATCGATATACGGAGATGCAATCGTCTTACATTCATGAACGACGTCAAGTTGACTTGATGGAGCACTTATGGGCGGTGAGAGGCAGGACGGTGAATGAAGTCAATTGAAGATGCTTTGTTTTTAATTATGCTTCGTGTTGATGTATGCATTGTTTAAATTATGTTTGTTTGTGTTTTGTTTTTAATTATGCTTTGGTTGTGTTTTGTTTTTAATTATGCTTTAGTTTGATGTATGCAATGTGTTGGATAAAAAGGTATTTTATTGAATGATTTCTTTATTCACTAAAAGAAAAGCAATACAACTAATTAAATAAAAGAGAAGAATAACAACTAATTCAATAAAAAAACAAGCAATACAATTAAATAAAGAGATATTTAGTAATATACCCATTCTTAGCACTAAAACTGTAAATAAACCCTACATCATTTCATTTTTATAAACATACCCAAAAAAAACCAAAAAAATGACAAATGGTACTATTAAATTTAATTTTAATTATTAAATTACTTTAATACCCTATTGAGTGTTTTGGGCTTTTTTATGAAATTTTGGGTTGGGTTTGTTTTAAGAAATCAATGGCAATTTTGTAATTTAAAAGAAGTTAAAAGCCTTTTTGTTATTTTATAAATGGGCTTTAGGTGTGTTTATAAATTCCATTTCATATAGGGTTTTTTTATAATTTAGGCTCTTATATTGGGTATATCAGTGAATCTCTCTATTTACTATTTCCTTCTAAATTTGCTTCCAGAACTGAAATATTGATTGCCGGAGATCTAAAACCCTCACATTTTTCTCTACAAAATCGGATACTCTGTAGACAGTTCACCTCAGAAATCTCAGAAGACCAACGCAGTTTCACCGTCAATTACCTCATAACCTCATGTGGGTTGTCGCCAGAAGATGCGATTTCAACATCCAGATGGATCAAGTTGCAGTCCCCAGAAAAAGCAGACTCCGTTTTGGGACTTCTAAGAAACCATGGATTCTCTCAAACCCAGATCTCAAAGTTTTGCAAAACTCGCCCACAACTTCTTTTAGCCAGCCCTGAGCAAACCCTTTTGCCAGATTGAGTTTTTCAGCTCTCTTGGAGTTTCAAGGGAGGACCTTGCAAAAACGCTGGTTCTGAATCCAAGTCTTTTGCAAAGAAGCTTGGAGAAACAGCTTGTGCCCACTTATAATTTCCTGAGGAGTCTGCTTCCTGAGAAAAATATCGTTTCTGTTTTCAAGTACAACTCGTCGATTTTCATGCAAGGCCACACCAAGAAAGTAGTGCCAAATGTCGCGATTTTGAGAGAATTAGGTATGCCTAAATCATGCATTTCTCTGTTGCTAGCTCATTGTACGCATGCTTTGATACATGATACTGAAAAGTTTCGCCAAGTTGTGAAAGAGGTTAAGGAAATGGGTTTTAACCTGGAAAAGTCGATTTCCGTGTCGGCAATAAGCATAATGTGTCGTTCATTTTATAAGCCGATATTGAAGCGAAATTGTGAAGTTTATAGCAGGTGGGGTTGGTCGGAGGCTGATGTTCTCTCTGCTTTCAGGAGTCGCCCGGAGTGTATTGCTCTGTCAGAGAAGAAAATAATGCAAACAATGGATCTTTTAGTGAACAAGATGGGATGGTCGTCAGAAACAATTCTCAAGTCCCCATATGTTTTGAATTATAGTTTGCAGAAGAGAACCTATCCCGAGGTGTTCGGTTGTTAGAGTTTTGTTGTCGAAAGGACTGATAAATACTGAAAAACTGAGCTTACATTCTGTGTTTGGACCTGTGGAGAAGGAGTTCTTGGAGAGATTTGTTGACAGTTATCTTGGTGAAGTACCTCAGTTGTTGTGCGTATACCAAGGAAAAGTGGATATCCAGGACGTATGATGTTGCAACTTTTTAAACCCTTGATGCTGCACTGTCTTGCTTGGAAAATTGCTTTTGATAGAATACACTCATATCTTGCTTCTGTTCGGGTTCAGTATTAACTATTCTGGAGAGGAGTGAAAACAACAATTTATTTTGTCTACTTTTCAAATTAGACGATATCAGTTCTCTAACCCATATGTTTCTTTTGTCTACTCTTCTATTGCTGTTTCAGTTTATTTTTCTACTTAGTGGCCTTGCGAAGAGATGAACCCAGAGTGAGTGCACTACCTTAACGATCTTCCAATCCTATAACTCGTAACCTTTTCTTTGAGTCAATGGCAGAGAGAGCATATGAAATATAAGTTTCACACACTTTCTTGATTTTTATGTGTGTGTACGCGCTATATTAATGGTATCTTGGAATGGTTTTCAGACCTTTATTCCTGCTCTGTTAGTAATTGTTCTCCACAAGCAGCTGGCCTGGGTAAGCATCATTACATGGTCGTTGTGATTCTGTAAGTATGGGATTTCTTGTCTTATGAAAAAAAGAAAAGAAAACTCAGTAACTGCGACTGATGATTGGGTTCCTTAAGGGACAAAAGGTCCAGCTTTAATGGGATACTCAGGAGTCATTTGGCAATTGTTATCTGTGGAGAAAAATGAATCTATTTGAAAACTTCTGGAGATTTTCTGAGATCAAGAGAGTGGTATGTTGGGGATCAGTTTACTTATTTATTGCTTCTCCTCTCGAATCATTTGCCGTTGAGTAACCTGCTTCTGTCTCCAAAGCACTTGTTTATTCTTTACTTGGATGATAGTTTTCAGGTAATGCTTCTAACTTTGATTGAAACACAACTTAAAATGCATGCACAACGGTGCTGCAGGTCATGAGAAAAACTTGTTATTTCAACTGTCCGTTGGATGCACGCTGTGATTTATCAGTAGTTACAGGCTTATCAATGTTTGATGAATAAACAATTATGTAAGGTCATTATTTATGTTATGGAGAATGTGATGCTTCATTTGTAGTGTTTTTTTATGATGGTCACCGATGTTGGAATAGATCTCAAGTTTGAATTCCCCAACCCCATGAAAAAAAAAAAAAAAAAAAAAAAAAATGTCCCATGTTGAGTGTTGGAGATATTTGTTTGCTATTTACAATTTTCCCCCGACAGGATTTAATCTGGCAAACCGACTTTGTGTCTGTAGTACGTGTATTTTGTGCTATTTAATTTTCCGTCAGCTGGCAATTGTTATCGGTGGGGACGAATGAATCTGTTATAAAGCCTCTGGATATTTTCTGATCTCAAGTGAGAGGCATGCCGTGGATCAATTTACTTATTTATTGGATGGTAGCTTTCTAGGAGTTCTTCTAGTTTTGATTAAGACTTAACTTAGCACGCATGCCGTTGAGTGCTGCAGCTGCAGGTCATAAGAAAATAACTGTGGATATGATTTTCCTGCTGCTAAAGTGGTCACGCAACCTTATGAGAGGAAGTCTAAACTTGTTACTGGAACTGGCAGGAAAAGGAAATTTTAAAACATTCTTTCACTGTGCTCACTCTATGCATGCTGTGAATTTTCAAGAGTGGTCCTAGGGACGGATCCAGGATTTCAAATTGAGGTGGGCTAAATTTACCTTATGCACATAGCTATTAAACTTGACAGTACGAAGTGAAATTCATTAATAACAAAAGACTACAACTAATTATGATGAAATAATGAGTTTTACTCCTCAAAATGCATCTAGTACGTAGTTCTTTTATATTTTCTACGTGCAGGGGTTACACCTCGCCGTGCTCAACTAAAAATGCCTCACCTCTGCACCTAGTCTTTCAAAACATAGAACAATTTTACTGTCAAATATTGTTTCCAGGTGGCAAAAATATCATTTTTGCAAATATTTGTGTAGCCCATGTGAAACCAGCGATGTAATGCATGAATTCTCAAGGATTTGGCGCCCACGGTATGTAATTTTCATGGCCTTGCAAAAGGTTATATGAGCATATTAAGGAAGCTAGCTGTAAATCAAGGCAATCAAAAGAAACCGGTGACACAGAAATGAAGGTAGAGAACCTGAAGCTGGACCAAGGAATTCCTCTTATCTTTGCAAATATCATTTTCAAGGAGACTTAGCCTCCCAGAAGCTAGCAGGGTAGAGGTCTAACCAGTTACGTAAGTCTCTGTCTAAAACTCTGGTTGATTTCTATCATACTCACTGTGCGGCTCACAGATGATGTCTCAGTTGACTTGAGTGCAATGATGAAGGAGCTTATTTTGTAGAAGCTCAAATTAACTGCAACCTCTTGATTTTTTTTTCTCTCATCGTGCCCAAATTACTTTACCACTTGTTTCTAATTCCGAAAATAGGATGATGGCATTGGCTTGGGTATTGTTCTGTTTTCACTGTCTTTAACTTTAGAGGAATTGCTATTAGAGTCTCCCTTTCACACAGCTACTACCCGTGAATTAGAGTACAATGACCATGATCAAATCTTGGCACTGGTAGTGCTTCCAGAGTTTATCGGACTGTCTTTGTCATGAACATCCCACATCAGAATTTGTTAGGACCAATTTTTGGTATATTGGCAATTTCCTCTTACAAAAACATAGAGTAGGTCTTTGAGTGTAACCTACAGTTTCAAGTGCTATCCTGGATCAGTGTGGCTTAGAGACAATGCCAAGGTATGTTTTGCATCCATGCATTCATATTTGCATATTTGCAAGATCATCAAAAGTGGATGTCAGATGTACAGACTGATATATGGTTTCAGTCTTACATAATCCGGTGCCAGACATCAGTGAGTTTTTAATGATGGTTTTATACTCTTTAGTTTGATGTTTATTTAAGCAAAATGGTTCTTTTGTCTTTACAGCTGAGTTTTTAATTAAGTAGCTTTATTTGTTAAAAAGCCCATTTTTACAAAAAGCCTTTTTGGTCTCTGACCTAGTTTTTAAGCGTGTAATATAAGAAAGGAACTTAGCCGTTTTGTGAACGACAAAATATTTGCAAAGAGGTTTTTGAGAGTTCATATTGAAAACTCATGTGGTTATTCCTTGTTAGCTTCCATGAGTGATTAAATCATCATCTTTTCATATATGTGTGAGTTCATGAGCATTATGCATGTTGGTGATCATCAATCGTGCCTTGAGGTGTGAGCAGCTGAGACCAGAGTTGTGCCATCTCTTGTTGACGAAGAAAGACAAGATCGCTGATTGGGTTGAGTAGCAAAGGCGAGTAGGCAAGTCTACCTTGTGAGCGTTAGTCTTGTGAGTTGAGACTTGTAAGACCTTTTGTATTCTTTCTCATAGTGATTTGTTCTCTGGCATAGTGCTCGCAGTTGTTTTCCTCATCTTGAGGTTTTTTATTGTGTCAACATATCGTGTGTCCCTTGTGCAATTGTTTACGTTTATTTGAATTTATTTTGATGCGTATTTTGGAATTTTTGCTTACAGGATTGTTACAGTATTTTAATCATGCTGTGGTGTTTGAGTATTAAGAAACAGATCGGTTGGCCATTCTAGAGAATTTCAGAACTTGACCACTAGGATGTTTGTGTTTAGTGCCTCAAAGATGGCCAGTTTCAAGGCCAAAATGAGTACACTTCTTACACACCCCTAAATTCCTTCACCCTTTTTTCTTGGAGTACAACCATATATTTTACATCAACCTTAGAGGGGAATTCTTAGTCCAACAACAAAAATAGAAGCACAATGCTACTTTATGGTGGGTATTCATTTGTGTCTCTTCTAATTAGGTTTAAAGACTTAAGAATATTTATTTCTGCATTTGAAGTGCTAGGTTGGACTCTCCCCTCCCAAATACTGCATTGTTAAAAAAAACAAAAAACAAAAAGATAATTTAAGGTATGGATGGTGGTATCATTCACCGTTTTTAACAGCTTACTTTGATTGTCAAGCGTTACTGCCACAACATCAACTCCAACAAGTATACCACACCTTTGATAGAAGAAATTGCCTTAGAAGTATAGTTATCAACTTGCAAGAGCCAGAACTTCATTTAGGGTTTTCAATTTTCCAAATTGATCATCATCGACTCTCCAAGTTGAAAAGCCTCATATTGGTTTATTTACTATCTCCTACATTTGCTTCCAGAACTGAAATATTGATTGCTTGACATCTAAAACCCTCACATTTTTCTATTCAAAATCGGATACTCTACAAACAGTTCACCTCAGAAATCTCAAAAGACCAATGCAGTTTCACCATAAATTACCTCATAACCTCATGTGGGTTGTCGCCAGAAAATGCGATTTCAACATCCAAGTGGTTCAAATTGCAATCCCCGAAAAAAGCAAACACCATTTTGGGGCTTCTCAGAAACCATGGATTCTCCCAAACCCATATCTCAAAGTTTTTCAAAAGACGACTATTTGTGCAAATTTCCTTCTCGGAGAATATTTGCGGATGAATCTTCTCTCTCGAACGTTCCTTTGCTAGATTTCCTACAAGACAAATGGCGGTCAACGGAGAACCACCGGTGTGGTGGTGGCCAAGGGCCCTCCGATGCCTAAGTCAGTAATATAGTCTCAGAAGATGCAGATAATACTACAAGGATGGAGATATTTCTATACGGGAGAGATATATGGCTTTGGAGCCGAGTAGGTAAGAGAGGTGGCGACAGTCTGAGTTGGTCAGCCACGAGTATGAGAGTAGGGGACAATTTCAGTGAGAGAGAGAGAGAGAGAGAGAGAGAGAGAGAGAGAGTAATTTTCGGGATTTTTTTGGAGTGAGGAAGAGTTATTTTATTCGTGTCCTCCATTTAGCTTAAATAGATTTTTCTTTCTCATAACATTCATTTTCCAATTGAGGAGGGAATAATGGAGAATGATTCTTCTCTTGATTAATTGGGTTGAGGGAAATTATGGAAGGAAATAAATAGATTGATGGAATTTATTCCGTCAAACTAAATAGGTAACTCCCATATTGAATATATTATTAAATCAGAATATTGATTTGAATAATATATTCTTAGGGTTTGCTCCTTTTCCACGTGG